AGCCCGTGGCCACGTGGCCGCTGTGGCAGGTCCTGAGCGGGCGGCGAGGCACCTGGTCGGAAGCACCTGGCCAGCCACCTGTCCCTGTCCCCGCTGCCAGCTGCCAGCTGCAGGCTTTATCGCCAGGCAGCGCCCCGTGAGCGAGGAGGCCGGCAACGCCCTGTTCCCCGTCTCCGGTTTTCTCCCTGCCTGCTCCACACGCACCATGCCCACCTGGCTGCCAGCGCCCTCCGGCCAGAACATCGGATCCCACCTTTCCTTTCTCTCTCTCTCTTTCTCTCTCTCTATCTCTCTCTCTCTCTATCTCTCTATCTCTATCTCTCTATCTCTCTATCTCTCTATCTCTCTATCTCTCTCTCTCTTTTTAAAATATATTTTATTGAGTTTTTACAGAGAGAAAGAGAGAGGGATAGAAACATCGATGAGAGAGAATCATCGACCAGCTGCCTCCTGCACACCCCCCACTGGGGATGTGCCCGCAACCAAGGTACATGCCCTTGACCGGAATCAAACCTGGGACCTTTCAGTCCGCAGGTCGGCGCTCTATCCACTGAGATAAGCCAGTTTCAACAGATCCTAACCTTCCGACAGACGCACCGCCCGCATCTGTTTCACATACTGCGCATTTCAAGGAGGACCAACTCGGACGCAAACAAACGCACGCCGGACTCCGCGGCGGAAGCCACAGAGGCGTTGACCTCGTGGATCAAGTCGCTACGCCGCCCAGGGAAGTGTCCCCGCGGTTCCCATCGTGGTGGGAAGGGCCAGCTTCCCTCCGGTCCTGAAGCCTTGCCCGCAGGCGGTTCTCCAGGAGGCGTTTCCTTTCCCTATAAGGGAGCGAACTCCCTCCCGGTCCTCCTCACGCACCTCCCCGCACATGTCAGAGCCTGGGCCAGGGTCCCCAGCCCCTCCGGACCCAGCCCTGGCCCAGGGGCTGCCTTTCACCTGGCCCAGCTCATCCCCGAGGCTGAGGGAGGAGACTCACCTGGAGCCAGAGGAAGCCAGAAGGGAGAGCGGCTGCCACTTCACGCCATGAGCCAGCCCCTGGCTGATGCCGAGAAGGGTAGGTCCGGGGTGGCTTAGTGCCCTGTCCCAGGCCCCATGCCACTCTGCAGAAGGCCCAGCAAGAACACCCAGCCACAGGCCCCGCAAGCTCCCGCCACCTCACCGCATGCCTTCTCAGCTGCCAATGGCGAGCTCCAAGCCCCCAGCGGGGAGGGGCCCCGGGCCCAGGACCCTGAGCTTGGCCAGAGACAGGATGTGGACAAAGTCAACACAGCGACAGAAGAGAGCGCCCCCACCTGCCCCAAGCCACCTCCCCCGCCTCCGAGCCCAGGGCTGGGGAGCCCAGCACTTCCTGCCCCTGGAAGGAGCGTGGCAGGCGAGTCAGCGGGACCCGGAGCCTGACACACAGCGTCTCTGTGGCTGCCTGGCCACCCGCCAAGCTGCCTCATTCCCCGGGGCTCACCTCATGTCGCTGGGGGGCCTCAAGCGGCCCGCGGCCTGTGTGTCGTCCCTCCTGGCTCAGTTCCAGGAACACGGCCCAGGCTGGGGCCCCGAGAAGAGGTGCGGACTCAGAGCCCATCGGCGCCCCCACCGCCCACCCCTGCCCTGCCAGAGCCTCCTGCCCGTGCCCACAGGCCGTTCCGAAGAAACCTGAGCATCACCCTCTCACCTCCTCCGTGTGAGGCCTTCCCGACCTGCCTTCCTGCTTCCACCAATCCGAGGGTCTCCCGTGAAGGCACTGTCACACTCCAGCTAGTCCTGCCTGCTCTGTTTCAGACTTCTGGAAAAAAGGGGGGAAAGGCAGGCTCATCGGAGGTGCTGAGAGCCATCTCTGAAGTCAGCTCCACCCCCTCAAAGAGAGCCTGAGAGCTCACGGCCTCGGCTTGGCGACCAAAGCAACGGTATAGCTAGCCCAGAGCTGGGCCAGGCACCCACCCTGGCCTTCCGATGGCCACCCAGTGCACGAGCCAGCAGGTCCCCAAAACAGAAGCCTTCACGCACGCTGGGCCCCACTTCCAGACACTCTTACTGGTGTTTGACCGTGGACAGGGCTGGGAGCAGACAAGGTGAGCAACCTGTGGGAAGACGCTGAAGCCAGACACACACCACCCCCCCCACACCACCCCCCGGACACACGAGTCCCCCCCACCCCTTTGCAGGGCATCTCCTGGGCATCCTCGCTACCACCACGCAGGCCGCAGCTCTAAATCCGGGGATCTGTTCTTTTTCAGGTGCACTTCGAGGTGTTTATTCCCCCTGGTCAAACCGCAGGCTGACAACGTGGAGGAGCGGCGAGAGGCCTCGTGTCTGGCCCTCCTCTCCCTGGGCGGACCCAGGGGGTCGGACGCAGCAGCTGGCGGGTCTTAAACTTCCCCGGCAGGAGCTGTCCTCCGGCCAGGGGCCCCCACCCCTCGGCCCTTGCAAGGTCTGCATACCTTGAAAGCATGCAGGCTGCAGGGCCGTGCGAACGGAGTGGAACTTTCCATTTATAGAATAATAACCTTCATACCACTCCGGGGGCCTCGCTCTCGTGGCGAGAGGTCGGAGTTGTGTCAGCAAACCTGCCACGCTTCTGCAGGAGCCTCGCGCCTTACGGGCTCCGGTGTTTATTTTTGGTTGGAGAAGGGGAGGAGATGAAGGAATGGCTTTTCCACGTGGGTGCCAACACAAACTCGAAAAAGGAACTGGGTTGGCAAGTGCACACTCTTACTGCCTGGTTTCGGGAGCAGGAGGTGAGGGAGAGACTGGGAAAGCGTGTCTTCAGCCCCTCACAGGGACAGGTGGCCAGAACGGGCATCACGTTACTGCCTCCAGCCCTCCCCTGGCCTGCCACCTGGCCCCTGGGTTGCCCCCCGAGGGCTGCGGCCCAAGCCAAAGGCATGGCTCCATCACCCCGCGTCTCCTGCGTTCTACACTTGATTCCGGTCAATGCACCCATGGACGCCGACATGCCTCTGGGGTCCATGGTCCAGCAGGACGGCCACCAAGCCAGGGGCGATGGGGCCCAAGGCCTAGTTCTCTCTGGTACATAGTCACCATGGGATCTAAGAGAACTCCTTCTCTCTCTCCCCTGAGTCTCATTGTCTTCATCGGTACAGGAAGAATGGCCCTAGCTGGTTTGGCTCAGTGGATAGAGCATGGGCCTGATCACTGAAGGGTCCCAGGTTTAATTCTGGTCAAGGGCACATTCCCAGATTGCAGGCTTGATCCCCAGTAGGGGGGCGTGCAGAGGCAGCTGATCAATGATTCTCCCTCATCATTGATGCCTCTATTTCTCTCTCCCTCTCCCTTGCTCTCTGGAATCAATGAAAATATATATATTTTTAAATTGGATCAGCTCTCACCAGTTTGGCTCAGTGTCCTGCAGACTGAAGGGTCCCAGGTTCGATTCCAGTCAAGGGTATGTACCTTGGTTGTGAGCACATCCCCAGTAGGAGATATGCTGGAGGCAGCTGATGGATGTTTCTCTCTCATGGATGTTTCTAACTCTCCCTCTCCCTTCTTCTCTGTAAAAAAAAATCAATAAAATATATATTTTTCAAATTGGATCAAATGACTGCAGAGACCCCTTCCACTGCTGATTTCTGATCCACTCATTCTTTCTAGTGATAACTGGTGCCAGGCCTAGGTTCTGGGCATCCTCCCCTAGACCCTTCAAAGGCTGCTGGGTGCAGCCAGAGCTGTGAGGGTGGCCTCAGGTCCAATGAGAGCTGCCAGCTCCAGCCACCCCCTCCTGTTCCAATAGCCACGGGGGAGGAGAACACTGTGAGGGCCCTTCCCAGTGCCTTTGTGTGAAAACACAAAAGTGTTGCCCCTTCCCCTGGGAAGGGCATGCCCACCTTGCATCCTCCTAATCAAAAATCTTGATTTTTCCCCCAAAAAAATGTTTTCATTTAAAATATCCAATTGTGATAGTGAAAATGCTTTGCTTTTCAAATTGCACATACCCATCAGATTTTGGTACAATCCTAGGGACAGGGGCGACTAGAGGGAGAGCTACACACACACACACACACACACACACCAATGCTAGGGCTGGAGGAAGGCTTTCTGGCCCCGTGCCCACCCGTACCGAGGTCACCAGTCAATGGCCATCCAGTCTCTGTTGGGAGGCCACTGTGGGAAGCGCTGGGACCCTCTCCTATGAGCCTCAGAGGTGTGCTGTGTCAACAAGTTATTCACTGTCACAAGTTACTCCTCTGAAAACTGCATCCTCCGTCCGCGTCCAGGCCGCCTCCCCAGTTTTCCCCCCCGCAGATGCCAGTGAGAAGGGGGGCCAGCAGGGGCTTCTGACCCAGAGAGTTAAGGGCCGGGAGGTGGGTGCGTGCAGGTCGGGGCATTCCTCCATCACCATCCCTGCCCCCTCCCGTCCTCGGCGAGTATCACCGCGACGGCCAGGGAGCCCCCGTCACCTGTGCGAACCCCGGGCCCAGAGCCCAGGCGGAGGCCAGGGCGAGGGCGAGGGCGAGGGCGGACCCCAGCGGCCGCCCCTCCCCGGCTCCTCTCCCTGCTCTCCTCGCCCCTCCCCGCCGGGCTGCGCGGGCAGGCCACGCCCCTTTCCCCGTTCCGCCAATCAGCGTCCTGAGCGGCACCCGCGGCGCAGGGGGCTCTGGTCGGCAGCCAATGAGCGCCGGGGCCCGCGGAGGCGCCGCCCCGCCCCCTCCCGGAATGAAAGCCGCCCCGCAGCTGGCAAAGCTGGCGCAGCGCGCGGGGCGCCGGAGCTGCTCGGGTCCGAGCGGAGCGCGCGCCGCCCGCCGCCCGCCGCCCGCCCGCCCCCGGCGCGCCCGCCCCCGCTCCGCCTCCGCCCGGGCCGGGCAGAGGGCAGGGCCGCAGCGGCGAGGCTGCGGGGCGGGGAGGCGCGGGGCCGGATAAAAGGCGGCCGGGCGGCCCCACCCCCGCGGCAGGCCGGCCGGCGGCTGAGCTCGGCGCGTCCCTTCCGTCCCGCCCGCGCCGGCGGCGGCGGCGGGGAGGCGGCGCGCGGCCCGCAGCCGCCCATGGAGGCTTTCCCCTGGGCGCCCCCCTCGCCCCGCCGCGGCCGCGCCCCCCCGCCCATGGCGCTCGTGCCCAGCGCCCGCTACGTGAGCGCCCCGGGCCCGGCGCACCCGCCGCCCTTCAGCTCCTGGAACGACTACCTGGGGCTCGCCACGCTCATCACCAAGGCGGTGGGCGGCGAGCGGCGCTTCGGAGACGGAGACGGCGGCGGCGGCGGCGGCTCCCCGCCCTCCTCTTCCTCCTCGTCCTGCTGCTCCCCGCACGCGGGGGCCGGGCCCGGGGCGCTGGGGCCGGCGCTGGGGCCGCCGGACTACGAAGACGATGACGACGACGACGACAGCGACGACCCGGGGTCGCGGGCCCGCTGCCTGGGCGGCGCGCTGGACCTGTGCGCCGGCCCCGCCGAGGCCGCGCTGCTGGAGGAGCGCTTCGCCGAGCTGAGCCCGTTCGCCGGCCGCGCGGCCGCCGTGCTGCTGGGCTGCGCGCCCGCCGCGGCCCCCGCCGACGGGGCCCCGCCGCGCGAGGAGCGGGCGCTGGCGTGGGCGGCGGAGCCCCGGCTGCACGCAGCCTCCTCCTCTTCCTCCTCCTCCTCCTCCTCCCCCGGGGCGGCCGCCGCGCGGCTGCTCAAGCCCGAGCTGCAGGTGTGCGTGTTCTGCCGGAACAACAAGGAGGCCGTGGCGCTCTACACCACGCACATCCTGAAGGGCCCCGACGGGCGCGTGCTGTGCCCGGTGCTGCGGCGCTACACGTGCCCCCTGTGCGGCGCCAGCGGCGACACGGCGCACACCATCAAGTACTGCCCGCTGTCCAAGGCGCCGCCCGCGCGCGGCCCCCGCGACGGCCCGCCCGGCAGGAAGCTGCGCTGAGCCCGGCCGGCCGCCTGCCCGCTCGCCATCGCTTCCTCGTGGAGCTCAGCCCTCGGTTCTACTTGGGATGTCGTCTTGGTTTATTATTTTTTTTCCCCAAAGCCAGCCGGCCGTTCGGAGTCCCGTGGAGAAGACAAGACGCTACACTCTTGACTTTTCTGATTTCCAGTTTGTGCACATCCGGACGGCGAAGGCTGTGTGTGCCCCGCTCACTGAAACGTGGCAACTTAGAGGCGCTATTTATTTACTCTCTATCTATACTCCGACCTATTTTAGATGCGCATCGGTATGAAATTGTCTGAGCTTGGATGTTTAGTTTTATTCACGGAGGCACTTTACTAGGTCTAGGATATTTTTTTAAAAGCCTCTCTATTGAACTTAGGCGATTTTACGGAATGTCGGCAGAGTGACTTTTATTGTTTGAAAAGGTGTTTAGTTGTCTTTGATCAGTTATTCTGGTGCCAGGGGAAGCAGCCCCGGGTAGACTCCGTTTTGAGAAGGGAAGGTTTTGTAAACTTTCCGGTATTGCTTTGGGTGGGCGTTCCCTCCTCGTGGCTTGTTTCTGTCCTAGCTGGAGGTGTAAAAACGCACAATCTGTACCGGGTAGAACACAGCTCCTTATTCTATGTACCAGATCTTTTATTACTGCACTAGAAACTAACGTTTTTCACCTTTAAAAAATGTGCCGCTATAGATCATGTTGTGTATACACTTGGAAATGGTGCTGTTAAGAGAAATTGACTTGTGTATTTATACAGTAACTGTATATGAATTCATTAATCTTACCTAGAACTTTGCTACTTGGCTTTTTGTCTATGCACCTCCCCCTTCCTGGTTCTTTAGAAACACTGATACTGAGGTGGAGAGGGAGCTGGATGTCAGGGTTCCGAACCAGTGGAAAGCTCATTCCACCTGTTGCCTTTCAAACTAAATGGAAGATAAAGTCCTCTGCACTCCCGAAGGTTAACGCAATCATCTGTGTTCAAGAAGGTTCCACTCTGGGCTGCCTGGCTGTAAGGCAGTCAGTCCTCAAACCAGAATAAGCATTAAGTATGGAGTTGGGGGTTAGAGACAAGGAGCTAGACCTCCCTGTGTTCCCATTCTCACTGGAAGACCCCAGGCCGTTTCTGGAACCCGACCAGTTAGTTACCCATACATGAGATTAAACCTGATCCTTAAGCAAAGGTTCTTAACCACTACTTTACCTCCCACCCTCATGTTTAAACCCACCAAGTTTAAACATGTAACTAAGTCAAGACCGGAGGCAAAAGTGGAAATAAAGATGAATGCACCAGAAACACAAAATGCTTATCTGAAAGTTTAGGTTATTAGAGGTTAGACTGCTTTCATACTAAAAAGCTAGCTTCCTCCACAGCAATTGGCTTGAACACTGCTTTGAAGGTTAACGGAGGCTGGAGTAGATAACCCTGGATAGCTCTGAGCCTTTTTGTTCAGGGAAGGTGCATCAAGAGAGAGGGTGAGGCCATACTTCCTTTTCCGGCCAGGAAAAAATGCACTCCTGCTTGCCTAGCCCCAGGCCATAGGACTTGAGATTTGACTGGGCCCAAACTCAAGCAGTTTAACAAAGCCATGTAATCACTCCTTTAGCTAGAAAATACATCAGCTTAAATTGTGCTGTGGGGGAAATTTTCAGGTCAACATGATTTCGTGTTACCACTCCCACTGCTGTTCTACTTTTCACGTCACTATAAACCGATCAGTGCATTCTTCAGCCAGGAGTAGGCAGGCAGCTACTTTGTGTTTTAAAAGAGCCAAATTATAGACACAGCTTCCAGCGCTCAGGCTTGTAGCTTTAATATATCTTCAGTGTGCAAACCCCTTGGTGGGCTGTGCCTAAATGGGAACACCTTGAACAAGGAGTTTCAAGTCCCTGTCAGAAGAGTATTGGGGAGGTATCCAGAAGACCCTCACAATTAGTTCGGCAACCGTTACATTAATCCACTTCAAACACACCCCTATCACTTACTCTCCCGTCTAACATTAAAAGTGTTTTATTTAGACTTAATATCATTAATATTCTAGAGATACCTTATGAAAAGTATTCTAACCACACTAGTTAAAATCAACCTTCCAGTTCTTCAAAGTTTAAAAAAACAGGAAAAACTTATTTTCGTAAAAATATACTACATACTTGGCTAAAAGCAAAATACCATATGGAATCCTCAAGTGAGCCTTACCGACCTTGGAGGCATGGACAGCCCTAAACTGCCTGTCTGTAGAGACAGTTCCAGTGCTTTTTAATGTCTGAATTTCAATTTTCCTGTGAAGTCCTTTTTGGAAGCTGCAGAATTACTCTGATTACAACTTTTGGCCAAGATTTATTACAAGCCAAAACTACGTTTTAAAGTTATACCACAAATATATGTACTTTAAGGGAAAGAAAAGGCACGTTTTTAGTCCAAATTTTCTGTTCTTGGCCACATGAGAAACATACCTCCAGTAGTGTCCCATGTGTGTCAGCCTTGTAAAATTATAAATCAGTCCACAACCAAAATGGTAAAAACACGGGTAATCCTTGATTAAAAAAAAAAAAAAAAATCCCACACATACAGGTGTCAACTTCCTCCTGGTAACCACTAAGGACAACTAATGGGATTGGGGTTTTGTGTGGGGTTTTTTTTTGGCCACTATCTCTACACACCCTCAACCACCTGTATTAAAAGTAATGGTATTCTTTAAAAATGCAGTCGTCACTGGGAACATGGCTCACACCAGTGATAACACATGAGGGTGGGAGGGGAAACCTAAGGGCAGGATCACAAACCGAGAGCAGACTTCCCTCCTCCAATGCCCCGATCCTGACTGCCAAGGAAAACATGGAGAATATCAGTGGGTCTGGGAAAGGGTCCTGGCAGAAAGGGCGGGCTTGCAGAGAAGCCTGGAAGCCTAACCAGCAGGCATGCACCTGAACTCTAAACAAAGCCGCCTAAGTGAACTGTCCAGTGGGGCCTTGATCTCAGGACAACCCGGCTCTCCTAACTTCAGACTCAGAACAGGTTACAGCCCAACTTCTTTTAGTTATTACAAAAGAAAAGGAACTCTCCTCACAAAAGACCTTTTAAAGACTTCTGCTTGTTTAGAAAGGAAGATAACTGTTTAAAAAAGTAGTTACCATCATTGGTAACATCACAGAAAAGACTGCATCTGATACTATTTAATTAAAAGAGCATCAATACTCCCTCTTCTGGCCTTACAGCTGTACCAACAGGAATTCTCACTGGTCATTATGAGAAATAATTACCATACTTGTTTCCGGTCCGAACTTAGACATGATGAGCAATACATCTAATTCTTTCCATCCATATTTTATTATGGCAAAGGTTTACAAAAAACAAGTGCCAAATGTCTGAATTATGTGCGACACTTTGGCTGAGTGACTCTGGGAGTCAGCTGGAAGTACGTTGTCAGAAGACAGTAATGCGTCTGACAATAGACCATCAAGAAGGCAAGAGAAATGTGATAGTATCCAACAGTCAAGTGATTCTGAAGAATGGGCAGAAAAAGACATTTTACCAGCCTTGGAGGATCATACAAATATTTCAGGCATAACTGTTCAATTGAAGTAACCAATTTTTTATAAGGATTTTTTAATCTCATTACTTCTCAGACCAATTTATACCATTACCAAATGGAAAAATACCACAAAACCTCTGCTAAAAACTTCACCATGCACAGATGTTACTTATATGGATATAAAGAAGTTTTTTGGTTTAATTTTATTGATGAGACTAAGAAAGATTACTGGTCAACACATCCTTTACTTGAATCACCCATATTTCCAAAAAAATATAACTGGAAAGAGGTTCGAGCAAATACATTCTTTCATCTGGTAATTCACAAACATTTAACAGACCATCTTTACAAAGTCAGACCTCTTTTAGATCACTTTATCTTGAAATTTAAACCTTTATATATACCAAAACAGCAGTTATCACTTGAAGCAATGACTCCGTGGATGCGCCCTGCATCAGATTCAAGACATATAATCCGGCAAAAATAATAAAATATGTAATTTTAGTAAGGATGCTTTGTGAAAGAATGTGCCGCACCAGCACAGCCAAGGGTGAACCTGAGTGGGGGCGGTGAACGATTGAGAACAGACAGACGAGAATGAAAGCTGGATCTCGGTGGGACATTGTCCCCTGATGGAGAGCTAGTGACAGCACCATGGACTACAAGCAGTCTTTACTTTATAGCCGATGCCAAGAGGCAAAGTAAGGGCGTGGTCAAGATGTTTACAACATTCTTGTGGGTTCCAATCCTACTCAACTACATGCACCTGATCAAGCTTTGTTTACTTGCAGCCTCTATCACTCAGGCACGTGGGGCCACGTGTTCGGACCATAGGTACAAGCTTACAACTACAGCTGTTGGTCAAATTGTGCATGGAGGGCTCTGCCCTCCAAGCTGGGACTTGCACGTGGCCATGAGAGGACTGTGTCCTCTCATTAGTCCGAGGCTTGAACCTGTCCAAACACTGTAGCCACTCTCCACAAAAGAGTAGCTACATTTGTAACTTTGATATATATATGGGTGAAGGCAAAAAGTTACAACAGACTATATTATCCTTCTCTTGGCAAAATATTTACCAAGATAATTACTACAACAGTGTGTCTACAGCTGAATAACAAAACACTGGTTTGTGGAACAATAATGAACTGTAGGTTGCCAAAATCACTAAGAAAAGTAGCCGCATGGATGAGTTCTCACTTGAAATAGCTGATCAGCACTGTTAAGTGGCTACAGCCACTATAAAGTTGCAAACATTCTCTGAATTGTGATTTTACTAATTTCAGAGAAAGACCCAGCACATCCACGTGTGCACACCAGCAGCACACACAATGCATAAGCTCACAGAGACAACACATGACAGGGAAACTAAGGGGTCCACATTCATGAAGGACACCTTAGGGCCGTGGTCGGTAAACTGCAGCTCAAGAGCCACATGCGGCTCTTTGGTCCCTTGGGTATGGCTCTTCGGTCCCTTGGGTATGGCTCTTCCACAAAATACCACAGCCTAGGAGAGTTTATTTTGAAGAAGTGGCATTAGAAGTTTAAGTTTAAAAAATTTGGCTCTCAAAAGAAATTTCAATTGTACTGTTGATATTTGGCTCTGTTGACTAATGAGTTTGCCGACCACTGCCTTAGGGAAACATCCTAACCACATTTGCCTTCTAGTACACATAGGTTACTTCCTTCACTACTGCGTAATGAGACAATTAATGGCACAGGTAAAACTCAAGTAAGATCAACAACTGAATATGCAAACATCACCATTATAAACAAAGCAGCTTAAATATAACCACAAATCAACACAAAAACAAATTCTGTAAGTATTTTATTTATCATTAAAGAAAAAACACAGCAGCAAGTTCTGTGTTGGCTTCAATAAGACCAAATAGTTATCTTTAACACAGCTACTACACTCCAGAATTGAAGTCAACACAGTCATTACTACAAATTACCTGTTGAAGGATCTATCCTAAAGAGAAAAGAAATTAAAAAAAATTTAAACAAGTCCTCCAAACCACACATTTATAAATATTGTCATATTTAAAATGCTTGAAAGGCATGAATTCTCCATTAATGGAAAAGCAGTTTGCTATTGGCAACAGAAAAAATATCAGGAACTTTACCAAATGCTTTAAAATTTAAAAGCTGTAACTGTTTTGGATTCACACTTGAGCAGTATTCTTGTCATTTCAATGATGACTGCAAATTGCTTTATACTCACCTCTTTCAAGTAAAATCTGCAGAAAATCCCACTGTATCAGATGTGTGTAATGTTTACTGCACTTATAGTAAACCTAAAAACTTCTTATATTTAGTTGATACCTCAAACCGCCTAGAGGTATGTCTCAACTGCTAATGGTGTGAAAATTGTTTCAGCTCCCTGCTTCAGTCTTGAAATACATTTTCTAATAGAACCTTACCTCATTCCAAATTAATATCAGATATTTCAAAATCAAAAGAAAAAGATCAGTCTATACCAAGATACAGGTGTTACTCAATACCTCAAGGGTTCACATCTTAAATTTATTTTTTAGTTTTTCTCTTTTTGTAAACAAGTGATTGATGAAATAATGCCAACACCTTAAATTCCAGAAAATGGCAAGGTTTTCCAACCTTCTGTGATACAGTGCATGATCAATCTATTATATAGGATTAATACAAGTTCATGCTTTTGTGTTATGGTGAGACAACATTAAAGAATCCAATTTAGACTGGTTGAGCACAAGTATAATAATCCTTGAATGTGTTCAAACCTATGTAAGACGTGAGTTTGAATCCATTATTTTGAGACTTAACGTCGTACTGTAGTCCATCCATCTTCATCAGTCTCATTTTTAGTACGACGAAGAGATTCCTTCTCTTTCTCAGCTCTCCATGAGGCCTTCTCTTTTTCACCTTCTTTTTCCCGGTCTCGGTCTCTCTCTCGATCTCTTGAAAGAGCTGGAGGAGGAACACGACGAGGGGCATCCCGCTCCTCTGCACGGTCATCTTTCCTGTCATCAGCACGTCTCCAGGAGCTCACTAAAAATTTAATTAAAGAAGAGAGAGTATGTTTGTACTATATTCTATTGGCTGAGACTAAACAGAACATCAGCTAAAGAAATGCCTCAAATTACTCAGAAATTCTGTATTAAAGGAAACAATACAGAATTGCCATTAAAAAAAAAAAACACAATAAAAGCTAAATACATTTTAATCATTTTGACACATTTTCTGATGAAACCTTTAAAAGAATATAGAGATTTAGAGATATAATTCAAATTTGCAAAGAAGAAATCATCGGCCTGGGAAATGTCCTAGTTGTTTTAACTACAAAAACTAACCAAGTGACCAAAATCTTGAATTAAAATTTTAAAATTAAAATGTTATCTTGGAGCTCTTGTTTTAACAACTAATTGGCCATAAGAACATTTTTTTCATTATGGCTATAATAGAAGAAATACCCGTATAACCCAGTTATACTAACATAATATTAAAAGCTTGTGAGACAATTACTTAGGTGCAATGGTCATTTTAAATACTGGAAGTATTTTTCTATTAGTTTCAATTGCTACAATTTCAGAGAAAGAATGTTTTATTTCCACTTTGTACTAATCTATTTACTTTTATAAGAAATGACAAATTGTTTCCTCATTTAAACTTTATATTTTGCTTACTATCCAATTTAATTAGTCTACTACTATACTTTGAATTTAGAGATAAGCTAACTTCAGAGCAACCACTGACAAGTTTAAGAGAACCGTGAATTCTAAATTGAATACATGTCCACTATCTTATTTTTGGTGTCCATGTAGATTTATAAGATATTAAAAATCCAAAATTCCCCAGTAATGATTCCCGGTGGTTCAGCAGCTGGGTAGACAGTCTCTACCTTCTTCACGCTCTGATCTGATAGGAGGTCCCCTGCGGTCTCTGTCATCTCGTCTTTCTCTTAGGTCTCTTAGGTCTCGGCGATCATCCCTCTCACGTCGGCGGTCATCTCTATCTCTATCGTCACGGCGACCTGAATCTCTCCAGCTCGAAGCTTCCTCAGCTGGCCCTCTTCTCCAGTCTCCTTCATCCCTGTAGCCATTCAAAAATGACATGTTAAGTTCTGATATTAGACTATATGTGGAATTATAGTGAATATATTATATTACATGGTCCTCAGAGAGTTTACTAATATAACAGGGATAAAGTTTAAACTCATCACTTAATCTCAACCTGTGCCTCAGGAGTGGCAGGCAAATAAGAACATCTGGCTGTGTGCAGTCCATCACAGTAGCCACTATCCATCTATGGCTCCTTAAGTTTATATTAACTAAAATAAAATCAAGACACTTTCTCAGGAGCACTAACCATATGCCGAATGGTCAACAGCCTCAAATGACATTACAGGTATAGGACATTTTCATGCCTGTAGAAAATTCTATTAAATAGTAATGGCCTAGATTTATCAGTATACAGCCACTATAACCAAAAGTAGCAAGTAAGAATTACCACTAGTAACAGTAAAGGGGCTTTCTGAAACCCATACCATTTTATTAACCAATGTCACCCCAACAGGCAATTTTTTTTTTTTAAAGTAAAGGGGCTTTCAGTAACTTAAGGGAAATAAAACTGATTGACCTAGACCACAGGGAAAAAGCAATGGACTGGTAAAGATACCTGCACTTATTCCACTACCAGAGTTATATAAACATGTAGACAGCCACACAGCTCGTGCTTCCATTTTAACACTTAACATGTTAAGAAGAAACATTCAATTAAATGACAGCTAAAAAAAAATTTTTTAAGTCTATAATTCTTATAAATATTGGCAGAGGGACGAATGAGAAACACCATCTCTCAAAAATGGTCTGGAATATTCAGGAGTATCTTAACTCTAACTCTAGGGATAGTTTTAATTCAAATATCAAACCTCGGTCTTCGGAAGCGATCCTCTCGTTCCCCATCTCTCTCTCTGTCCCTTTCTCTCTCTGGATCCTTGTCATTCTCTTCACGATCTTGACCATCTCTCTCTCTTTCTTTTTCTCTGTCCCATTCACGTTCTTCTGGTGGTCTTGATTCTCGAGGTGGACCCCAACTTTCTTCTCTGGCTTTTTCTTTCTCTCTCCATCCACCTATTTTTTAAAGATGCAAAAATATTTTCCACTCAAGAAACAGATTGGCAACTAAGAATAGAGATCTTAATGTTGATATTAATCCAGCACCATTCTACATACTAATTTAAGACACTCCAACTTCTATACACACACACAAACACTAACTAAAGCCACTTACATCATTTCACAAGATTCCAGCTCCTATTTGTGACTAGTACCTATCCTGTTTCTCTAACACGCAGGAACACATGACATAAGAAACTTATATAGCCCTGGTTGAGTATCTTGTATGCAGTTATTTTGGGTATGTTTTGATGATAAACAACTCACTTAAGCAAAAATTTCAAGGGAAAAGGGTAGGAGCTAGATCGATCTCTAAAGACAGAGCCCCAGCCCTAACCCATTAGGCTCAGTGGATAGAGCATCAGCCTGTGGACTTAAGGTCCCAGGTTCAATTCCCGTCAAGGACATGTACTTTGGTTGCAGGCACATCCCCAGTAGGAGGTGTGGTGTGTCTCTTTTCGATGTTTCTAACTCTCTACCCCTCTCCCTTCCTCTCTGTAAAAAATCAATAAAATATATATTTTTAAAACAAACGACAGTGCCTCAGTTATGTATTCATTCAGACAGTGCCACATTTTCAAAACTTTCCTAACCAAAAGCATTCTTTCCTGTCCTATTACTGCTCTCCATCATTTACCACGTATGCAATCATGAAGCAAGGATAAATCCTTAGACCCTGCCCAGTACCTCACACTTATCCAGAGGATGTCCAAAGCTAGAAACATTTTATTTAGCCAAGGATATTTTTCCATTGATTCTTAGAGTGGAAGAGAAAAAGACAGACAGAAAAACATTGATGTGAGAGACACATCGATTGGTTGCCTCCTGCAAATGCCCAGAACGGGTATTTAACCTGAAACCAAGGTATGTGCCCTTGACTGGAATTGAACCCAGAACCCTTCAGTCTGATGGCCAATGCTCTATCCACTGAGCCAAACCTGCTAGAGCCATTTTATTTATTTATATATGCACACAAAAAGGCCAAAGGCAACAGAGATCTCAATGAAAATGTATTACAGTTTTAAGGCTAACAATTATTTTTTTAAACATTTTATTTTATTATTTTTTTATATTTTATTGATTTTTTTACAGAGAGGAAAGGAAGGGAGAGAGATAAGAGAGCTAGAAACGTTGATGAGAGAGAAACATCGACCAGCTGCCTCTTGCACACCCCCTACCGGGGATGTGCCCACAACCAATGTACATGCCCTTGACCGGTATCGAACCTGGGACCTTTCAGTCCGCAGACCAATGCTCTACGGCTGAGCCAAACCGGTTTCGGCAAGGCTAACAATTATTATTGCTGTTAGCATTTATATTATCATATGCCATAGCACTATTCCAAACTCTGAGCTGAGTAGAGTTCATATTTGCTAATTTGCCTGTATGCTAAAATTTATACCCCCAAAATTAATACTCCAGAACTTTTATAGTCACTAGCAGACATGTGCAAAGTTGCAAAATATTTTGAGTCGCCTGACAGTACATTTTCAGCAGAGGTTAAATAAGGCAACATTGCCTTCTTGCTGCATCTCTCATACTTCAAGTAAGTATCCTATTGGAGGTCTAGTTTTACATTATTTTGGCTTTTGGTTGATGATTTCACCGTTTAAAATGGCCTCCAAAGATTGGGCTAAAATGTTCTCTAGTGTTCCCAAGCAAAGAAGGCAATGGATGGGAGAAAATATTTGTATTAGATAAGCTTATTCAGGAAAATATTACAATACTTTAGTTATGAGTTCAACATTAATCAACACTATATATTAAATATCTTTAAATAGAAATATAAAAAGCAAGTTGTGTATTATTGACTGCTTGACAAAACTTGTGACTAAAAGGCTCAAGGGAACCTACCTTATCTTTTCCCTAGGAGCAAATGGTTCAGAATTCAGAGACACTTTATAAAATACAACTATCACCACTTAATGAGAATTGACTATTCTTTATCCCCATTTTACATGAGGCACAGAAAAGTTAAGTGGCTTACCCAAAATCACGTGGCTAGACAGTAGGAAGAAGTGACACTAGAAGAGAGAGTATACAACAGAAACCACAAAAGGTAAAGGCAAGGAAGCTGGTCATTTAAACTTGCATTTAGAACAGATTGCCCTGGTTATTACACAAAAACTCAAATTGGGGGTGGGAGAGACAGCAGAGACCAGTAACAGCAAGAGTTCAAAGAATGATGGTGGACCAGACCCAAGTACATGCAGGGGAAATAGAAGTGGGTGGGCTTAAGGAACATTGATAAGCTAGAATTAAACTAAAGCTTTAACTTAAAGGATGAAAGACCGAGCAAAAACTTCCAGATTTGCAGCTTATACGATTAGCTTGAAAGTGGAATCCCAGCCGAAACCGGTTTGGCTCAGTGGATAGAGCGTCTGCCTGCGGACTGAAAGGTCCTGAGTTCGATTCTGGTCAAGGGTATGTACCTTGGTTGCGGGCACATCCCCAATAGAGGGTGTGCAAGAGGCATCTGATCAATGATTCTCTCTCATCAATGTTTCTAACTCTCTATCCCTCTCTCGTCCTCTGTAAAAAATCAATAAAATACATTAAAAAAGAATAGAAAGTGGAATCCCAAAGAGAATTGGGTGCTTATATGTATGCATGTGGGTAGTGTATTGTATGTGAAGTCAGTTTTGACAGGTGTGTGAAGTGTCACTGACATTTTCAGGTAGAGATGTGCTCTGTACAGTATACAGTTGGAAACAAGAGATCTTAAGTTGTTATCTGGAGACCGTCAAAACCACAGACTTGTACATTATTACTCAAAACAGTGAAGTATGAAAAGATGATCAGACCTAAGACTTGCAAATAAGAAAATGAGCTCTTGCTGTGAGAATAATCCCACGGTTGGCAAGAGTACAGACAAACGTTTATTACAAGAAGGCTAGTCCAGGACAGAACCTGATGAGCAATGACACTGAAGATATGGACACAGGAAGAAAAGCACTTAAAGCATCAAAAAGGCAAAAGGAAACAAAGAGAAAAAGGGGTGGTAATTTGTGTGGGACATTGAAGGTAAGTAAGCTTTGACATAAGTCACTGCAGAGATATTCAAGAAAAGGTAAAAGATCAGTTTACTTAAAAACTAATAGGAATACAAACCAATCTGTCATATATCAATTAAAATTTGTGGGTTTTTTCCCAGTTGAAAAATAACTTTTATTAATTAAAAAAATAAAAATGTAGTCATTTGAGATACTCCTTGTTTGGAACAACCTGCTATCATCTATAGAACAGTGGAGACTAGATTGTGTAAAACTTTCACTTTCTACTTATAAATATACCAAATAGAGCCTATAAAGAATGCAATCTGAATTTCTGAATCCCAGAATTTTACCTGGCTTGACAAATGGTCTCCAGAGACCAGGTCTTGAGTCCTCGCCCCTTCTGCTGGGAATGCGATCATCATCAGCCCGTCTTGAGATCCGGTCATCATCCATGTTTCTCCAAGGACCCCTGTCATCATCTGTACCACGCCTGGGAATTCTATCATCATCGGCATTCCTCCAAGGTCCTCGATCTTCATCTAGCCCGCGCCTGGGCCCCCGGTCATCATCCAGCCCGCGCCTGGGCCCCCGGTCATCATCCAGGCCTCTCCTTGGGCCTCGGTCATCATCCGCATTACGCCAGGATGACCGCTCATCATCAGCACCTCCTCGCCGTGGCCCCCGATCTTCATCCATACCACGTCTTGGTCCTCGGTCCTCATCAGCTGCCCGCCAATTTCCTCTGTCCTCATCCAGCCCTCGTCTAGGTGGTCTATCATCATCCATATGCCGCCAGCTTCCCCTATCTTCATCACCGATTCGTCTGAGAGGCCTGTCGTCATCACCGAGTCGCCTGGGGGGCCTGTCGTCATCACCGAGTCGCCTAGGGGGCCTGTCGTCATCACCAATTCGCCTGGGGGGCCTGTCATCATCCGCATTGCGCCAGGAAGGCCGATCCTCATCTGCCCCACGGCGAGGGAACCTATCTTCATCAGGACCACGTCGAGGGGCTCTGTCATCATCCATGCCCCGCCTGGGAATCCGATCTTCATCTGGTCTAACAGAAGACTCTCTATCTTCATCTTCTCCCAACCGCCTTGGGCGATCTTCATCTCTTCTAACAGGCCTCTCCTCATCTCGCCCTTCTCCACGTCTCCACTCCCTACAGAGCAACAAGCCAAAAAAAATCTTTAAGAATAATTTTCTTAAAAAGCACATGGTGCTTGCCGAAACCGGTTTGGCTCAGTGGTAGAGCGTCGGTCTGCGGACTGAAAGGTCCCGGGTTCAATTCCGATCAAGGGCATGTGCCTTGGTTGCGGGCATATCCCCAGTAGGGTGTGTGCAAGAGGCAGCTGGTCTATGTTTCTCTCTCATTGACGTTTCTAGCTCTCTATCTCACTCCCTTCCTCTCTGTAAAAAAATCAATGAAATAAAAAAATAAAAATAAAAAAAGCACATGGTGCTTTTGGGAATTACTGCACTTTTAAAAATCAGTTTGGTGCCGGGACCGGTTTGGCTCAATGGATAGAGCGTCGGCTTGGGGACTGAAGGGCCCCGGGTTCGATTCCGGTCAAGGGCATGTACCTTGGTTGCAGGCATTTCCCCAGTAGGGGGTGTGCAAGAGGGAGCTGATCGATGACTCTCATTGATGTTTCTAACTATCTCTCTCCCTTCCTCTCTGTACAAAAATCAATAAAATATATATATTTTTTAAAATCACTTTGGTGTAAATCCTTTAAACATATTCCTACAATATGTTCTCCTAATTAAAAAAAAATTTAAACAAAATCCAAACTATTACATCAATAAATAATAAACCAATAAACAGACAACTGCCTTACAAGGGCATCTATACTTTTCCAGGGGTACCTTGGCAATTTCACCCTAAAGGATGGTTTGATCTACTTAAAAAATTTAAAGGAAAAGAAAAATGTCATGAATGTTTATTCTTACTCTAACTGCTAACATCATTCCAGAACTCATTCCTCAAGATGTTCAGACGTCAGCAATTACAGCAGTTTTGAAGTAAACTATGAAAAACATTTTAATACGAGACATATACACAATTCTTCACAACTCTCCTCTCCCCAACCCTACAAATAACCAAACTAGAAAACCACCAATGAGATATTAACAGAACCTGTGATTGATTGGTACCATTTTCCTTTACTTACTTCTCTGGTGGGCCTGGTGGGCCTCTTCTCCACTCAGATTCGACTTCAGGTCCTTTTCTCCATGTACCTTCTGAATCTCTGTCTCCCCAGCGAGAGTCCTACATTGACCAAAGATAGTAAGATGCACTACATTGGGAACAATTACTATTGTTATTATGCAAACATTTTATATTAAACATAAATGTTTTAAAACTATTTCTCTTAATCTGAAATTAGACTGACAGTACAATGAAAAGTATTGTGAATGGATTTATAAATTGATAACCACCTGCAAGCAATCTGGCAGCATTCCCCCTAGAATAATTTAAATGTCTATAGATCTTCTTTGAACTAGAAATTCCCTTATAAGATGTGTAAAAAGCTGAGTGTCCCAAAATGTACATCACAGTGCCTACTAAAGAAGTGGAGCAAATGAAATGTTTAATAGGGGATTGTTAGATTAACATTTTCCTCTTCAAAATATTATGTTGTCAATAAAAATTATGGAGAGGGCGTGAGAGATACTCAACACCCTTAAGGTGAAAATTATAAGCAATGCATATAATTTTAATCACAAACACTTCTGGCACAGCTTGATTGTTCCCACAAACATAAGGCCAAAGTCAGAAGAAAAGAACACTGAAAACAAGCTCTAGGCAGGGGATGGGAGAACTGAAATAAAAATCTAAGAAGCTGAGAATAACTATAAGCCCTTGTATAATAGATGAATATAAGGATCTTAATTTACAATTTAAAGTGCCTTGGCAATAAAAGCCTCCAACAACTGACATTAAGCAGCAGTGAAGGGCCAAGACCGGTTTGACTCAATGGATAGAGCGTCAGCTTGGGGACTGAAGAGACCCGGGTTCGATTCCGGACAAGGGCATGTGCCTAGGTTGCGGGCATATCCCCAGTAGGGGGTGTGCAAGAGGCAGCTGATCGATGACTCTCATCAATGTTTCTAACTCTCTATCTCTCTCCCTTCCTCTCTGTACAAAATCAATAAAAAAAATTTTTAAATTGTAAAAAAAAAAAAAAAAAAAAAAAAAAGAAGCAGCAGCAGCAGCAGTAGTGAAGGACAAGAATGGCCATATAAGTCATCTGTCATCAGAGCTACTGACTCTAGGCTATCTCTTAAAATCGGTGTTGTTCTAAGACACGTTCCCAAGTGAACATTGTGGGAGGAAATATTTACTCAATTTAAGTTACAGAAACTCATAACAACTCCAATGGAGGGAATGTCCACTCCAGAAGACCAAGTTTCTCTTACTATTCATACTCATCCTGCAAATTAAACTCAAAGACTTCAACTTATGAGGTTTTAGTACAAATATCAGAACTTCAAAGAGGATTTTGGGAGTGGCTATGAGAGCCAATAAAACAATTCTGAAAAATTAACATCATCGCCAAAACTTTTAAAGTCACTTGGTAGATCAACAGCAGAATAGGATTTATTGATAAACATAGAAACTAAACAGGAATTACAGAAAACCAGTTTCAAAAGGACAAAGTTGAAAAAATGAAACCGTGAGAGCGATAAATAGAACTCTGAAAGGCCACAATACAGACAAGGAGAGAAAAAATTTCCCTAAGTTAAGGAAATCCAATCTTCTCTGAGTAAATCCTCTGACTGAAAGGGCACATGTGCCAAAAAGGATGACTCATAAAGACCACACACGTAGGCAACTAACGATAGTGTTAAATCTTTACCCCAAAGATAGAGAAAAGTCTAAAGAGTGTCTACCAAGACGATTATCAAGCCCCCTCCCCAATGTGTACTAAAACAGTGAGGAGAGGGCTAAGTCTCTGGAGAGGAGGATTTAGAACTGGCTCAACCATTGTTCAACTGTGAGATAAAAACAAAACCTCTTTTGAGACATACACAAAGACATTCTGAAAAAATTAAGATGATAAAATACAAAACAAAAAGAAGTTATCTGCAAAGGGGGAAAAGTGATACAGTGTAAACATATTTTAAACTAAATAACGTTTGCCAATATGGCTATAAAACTTAAATGAGTCCTTAAGAGAACTTTTAAACGTTCTGTGGGGCAAAAACATGCAGCTGATTTCAAGGCAACATAAAAGTATGCTCAGAATTTTGTTTTGTTCTGAAGAGGCAAAAGAGTTCTCAAAATCTACAGGCTATTAAAGTTTACGTGATTTTGGAAAACATAAATGGTTATCACTAAAAACAAAGCAAACAGCCGAAACCGGTTTGGCTCAATGAGATAGAGCATCGGCCTGTGGACTGAGAGGTCTCGGGTTCGATTCCAGTCAAGGGCATGTACCTTGGTTGCGGGCACATCCCCAGTGGGGGGTGTGCAAGAGGCAGCTGATCGATGATTCTCTCTCATCGATGTTTCTAACTCTTTATCCCTCTCTCTTCCTCTCTCTAAAAAAAATCAATAAGCCGAAACCGGTTTGGCTCAGTGGTGGAGCATCTGTCTGTGGACTGAGGGGTCCTGGGTTCGATTCCAGTCAAGGGCATGTACATTGGATGCGGGCATATCCCCGGTAGGGGGTGTGCAGGAGGCAGCTGGTCGATGTTTCTCTCATCGATGTTTCTGGCTCTCTGTCTTTCTCCCTTCCTCTCTGTAAAAAAAAAATCAATAAAATATATTTTTAAAAAAATAATAAATAAAAAATAAAGTAAAAATAAAAACAGAGAAAACAAAGTTCTTAAGTTCGACTTAAAGAAAAGAAGGGATGGCAGGCACATGGAAGCAAATAAAAAACTCCAAACTCTATATTAGGAATAAAACAAGTAGTAATAATTACCATGTTAAATGTGAATAGATACAACTAAACACTCTCCACTCAATCAGTGTGGCTCAGTGGCTGAGCATCCACCCATATACCAGGTCTCTGGTTTGAATCCTCATCAGGGCACATGCCTGGGTTGCAGGCTCAATTCCCAGCAGTGTGCTTGCAGGAAGCAACCGATCCACATTGATGTCTCTCTTTGATGTTTCTACCTCTCTCCCCCTCTCCCTTCCTCTGTAAAATTCAATAAAAACATTTTAAAGACTAAAAACTAAAAATTCTCTAATTAAAAGAAGGTGAAGGTGGGGTCAAAAGGTGGGGTCAACAGACTCTAAATGTTAAAATGCACAAAACGATGAACAGATTTGCAAACACTAAAAAAACAAACTTGGAAACCCACAATCATAGGAAGTTACCTCAAGTTCTTCAGAAGATGAAGTTCCCGTAAATCACTAGGACGGAGCAAATTAGATAACACAACATACACACAGAACTTTGTGCCCAAAAGTAAAGAATACTCATAAAACCTGACCATATTTTATAACACAAGGGGAAATGTACTAAAATTCAAAAAAATTAGAAACCATATAAGCCACAACCACCAATAACAAGAAAGTAAAAATAGAAATTAGTGACAAGAGTAACGAAGTGAAAATCTATCATCCACATACACATTAAACTAAAATTGAAGACTACACAGGTAAGGTAGTAAGGGCTCCTCTGATAAAGATAAGGGCTTCATGAAGATATGATGCAGATAAAGGATTGAAGAAAAGATAGGCAAAGAGCATGCAAACACACATAATAAAAGGATAAAACTAGCTAGCTCAGTCTGGCTGAAGTATAGATGACTAAGAAAAGCTAATGAAAAAACAGTCAACATGAAAGGCCTTAACTGCTAAGACATGCTTTAACCTTTGGTTCCAAGTAATGAATACCAACCAAAAGAAGGTTTGCAACCCAAGAGCAGGTGTAATGATCAAATACTCAGTATGAAAAATCAGCAGTCTGATGCTGGAGGAAGATTAAGACCAGAAAGAATAGTAAGGAGACCAGTAAGTAATATAAGCAAAAGAAAACTAAAGTAAGGCAGGAATATAAAAATAGAAAGGAGAGGGATTCAAAACTCTTATGATTAAAGTGGGTAACAGTACTATCAGCCAGGAGGGGGAAATAAAGAGACTGAAGAGAGTGGGGGAGGAAACAGCTGCATATTAAATGTAACAAAGCAGCATTTGAACGGACTGGCTATCTCGTTAAAAAGCAGGTTCTAATTCAGGTTTGGTGCCTGGCCTGAGATTCTGCATTTCTAACAAGCTCCCAGGGGGATTCTGAATATTGATGGTCCGCCAATTTCGAGTGCCAAGGAGCTAAGAGAACTCACATCATTCTTTTAATTCACAGCAACTCCTTCCTAGAAACACAGAAGAGTCCCTCTTTCCATAGCGCTAATGAGTGTTATATCTTGTCAACTACTTAAGTCTTATGAGATTCACTCTGACTGACAAGTGCAATAGACAGAAGCCTATAAAAATCTCAGATCCACTAACAGAAGTTCAATTTTCTCCCTTTAAAAACCTTCTGCCTTTGGGAAGACAAAGCAATACCAGACTTCCAGAGACATGAATGAAACTGGTTCAAAACACCAAGCCCAGACATTGACATATGCATTGACATATGTATCGTGAAGAGAACAAGTCATCCCAGGGAAAGCAATGTTTACATACTCACCTTTCTAGAAAGTGGATCTTCACCAAGTCTTCTCTCTTCCTCTCTACGACGCTCCCTTTCTTCAATTTCCAGCTCCCTCTGGCGTTTTTTCCTCTCTACTTCTTCTAACTTCTTGACCCGCTCCTGATATTCTCGAAGCTCTTCCTCACGTTTTGCCCGTTCTGCACGTTCTCTCTCTTCACGCTCTACATAAAATGTAGTAGGTTAGAGAGTGTGCCTCCTACCTGCACCTTTCTTTTAGTGCTAGGTCTACTTCTTTGGTATTAAACATGTATAATATAGAGGTAAATCCTTTTTTAACAATTTAAAAATAGCTTACTATCAGCTAACAGAGATATTTGAGAAAACAAGTATTATGCCACTCATCATTAAAAGTTTTGTAATGAGCCGAAACCGGTTTGGCTCAGCGGTAGAGCGTCGGTCTGTGGGCTGAAGGGTCCCAGGTTCGATTCCGGTCAGGGGCATGTACGTTACTTGTGGGCACATTCCCGGTGGGGGGTGTGCAGGAGGCAGCTGGTTGATGTTTCTCTCTCTCATCGATGTTTCTAGCTCTCTCTCTCTCCCTTCCTCTCTGTAAAAAATCAATAAAATATACTTTAAAAAAAAAAAAAAAAAAAAAAAAGTTTTGTAATGACTCAAGAAGACACTAGGAATCCCTCCTCAAATCCTGAACATCTCTGATACCAGACAAAGGATCATTTGACAGACTTCAACTGATAGATATTCCTAAATAAATGTGAGTACTACACAGAATATAGTAATAAAAAATTTAAAAGCAATATTTATTTTTAAAAGAACACCAAAAATGTGAGATTTTTGCTGATATGACATAGTATCTTCACATAAAGCAAAAGTTAAGATCCCAGAAACTGAGAACTAGTTATTAATAGTTGCAGTTAATAAGTCAATGATCCCTACATCTCAATTCATGTATTTTCTAAATAAGACTGCTATAAACTGACCTAATATCAACCTTGTGTAATCCCACCTCCAATCTTGGTCTATAGTTACCTTTTAGCATTTGCTCTTCTGCCCTTCTTTGCTCTTCCTCTTCCTTTTCTCTATAGTAGGTTATTCTGCGTTCTTCTTTACGTTGCCTTTTACGTTCTTCCAAGCGATTATGCCTTTCTTCTGCTAATCGCTCTTCAAACTGTTTAAGTTTTTCCTATAATTGGTTACCCCAAATTAAAAAATATATATCAAGTTTTTTGGAAAGCTACAAAACTAACGAAGTTTTAAGTTTACAAAAGCAATGCAGGTTTCTTGGAACCATAAAAAAAGCAACCTTCAAGTAAAAAAACTAGAATTTTGAAATGATTAAAGGTTTTCTCAAATTTCTAAACACATAAATTGTTGACAATATGAAGTGGGCCTGCCACCATACAAACTAAAATGAATGATTAAATTAGAATGCTATGAACAGAACACTTGATTTTTTTTTTCTTTCTGTAAATAGTAAACAAAAGCTTGTATCAATTGCAAATTTTATGCAGCCCACCAGCGCCTTTAGAAAAATACTGATGTTTGACTACTTAGCTTAGAAAATATTTAAGAAATTTTCTATTAAAATGCTATTTGAATGGTAACATTATATATGTTAGTTCAATAAAGAATGTGCTACTGTATTGAAGAACGCTTAAGGCAAAACTAAAGCTTAGGAACATTTCCCTGAAGCCATAAATGTACCTCATAAACAGACTGTCGTGCTGCCTTGAGTCGCATTTCAAATAAATCTCTGTCTTCAAGCATTCGTGACATTCGATTCTTGTGTTCAAGAGCCTTTTCCCGTTCTAGCTGCATAGTAGTAATCTGCAAACACATAATACAAAGTTAAATTTCCAAAGCATTCATTATCTGATTACTAATTTACCCCAAATCCTGGCCTATGCCTTATCAACTTTACTATCCTTCATGCCAACAGGTCCCTAGGAAGGCAATCAGGGAGATGGATAAACGAGACATCTGCAAGAACGTTTTTATTTAGGCCCACAGTAGCACAAATTTTTATAAAGGAAAACTATATGTATATGGTAAAACAAATAAAACACCAAAAAATAGTAGTAAGCACTATGGTTGAATTATTAAAGGCATTTCTTCCTTAAAAACAATTGGAGGTTCAGGCAAGATAAACTACATATTAAAGAAGGCTTTTCCTTTTGTGTCCTAAGGGGGAAAAAATGAAAGGCTTCAGGGAAGAGATTGCAGCAAATTATCTCAAATATTTAATTTGGTCTGTTGTAGCACTTTTCCTAATTATATATCATAAAAATTTCAACTTCTAAAAATATTTGAAAGAACTGGCAATACTTGTCCCACAATGACAACAATCCAATGGACTAGAGGGCTGCATTCTCCACACTGCAGTCCCCACAAATAGACGCTGTCTCCTGCCTGTGGTTACTTTACTCTTTTTTTAACCAGAACCAAGTCATTTCTTTTTATTATAAATTTGGCTACTACAAGCAAACCTTACTTTTGTATCATCAAGTAAACAAAGACTAAAAAAACTATAGATGGAATTGTTTAGTCACAAAACAACATATGGTATGATTCTATTTACATAAAATACCCAGAATAGCCAAATCTAAAGGCAAAAAAGATTAGTGGTTTTAACTTCCTACAGCCAGGTGGTAGAAAGTTTAGTTCTACATGAGGAATAACTGATAAATGAGTAACAAGCTTATTTGGGGGGTATGTTATAATATTAGATAGTTGCACAATTCTGTACTAAAAAGCTGCACACGATGGTGTGTGAATTCTGTTTCCATAAAGGTGTTTTAAAAACTAAATTTTTCAGCTATCCTTTGTATTTTATAAGTCTCATTTTTTAATCTCACTGTGAAAATTTCTATCCACCAATCTGTTAGTTTGCATCCACTAAAGCACACCATTTCTGGCAAAAGATTACAAAATAAATTTTTCCCTAGTTGGTTTGGCTCAGTGGATAGAACACCAGCCTTTGGACCAAAGGGTCCCAGGTTCGATTCCTGTCAAGGGTACATACAGTACCTTGGCTGCAGGCTCCTCCCTCACCCAGGCTCTAGTCAGGGTTGAAACAGGAGGCAACCAATTAATGTGTTTCTCAGTCTTTCCCTCTCTTCCACTCTCCTCCAAAAAAATCAATGGAAAATGTCCTTTGGTGAGGATTAATAAAATAAATCAATTTTGATATCCTGGACTCAATAGTGTCAGAGGATTTAATTTTAGCTTACAGTCTAAAAATATTTCAATTAAATTAAAATCTTACTCTTTCTTCTTCTTGTTGTTCCCACAGATCCATGTCTTTAATTCTCTGTTCTTCATAAGCACTTTTTATTAAAGGGATTTCTTCCAAACGTTTAGCTCTTTCAAAATAATCAATCTGAATAACATGAAAATAAATGTAGTTTAAAAATAGATATTTTTTAATCTGACATGTTAAAATTTTACCAGTTCTTTCATTTACCTTCTTTTCTTGATTCTTCAGGCGTTCCTGAAGTTCCTTCTTTTCTTTCTCTAGTTGTTCAACCTGCTTAGCCATGATGAAATCTGGATCCAGTTCTTCAAGATCCTGAAAGATAATACAAATGCACAATCATTAATAAGAATGTAAGAAAAACGCAATGGAGCACTGCTTCTAGAATCAAAACCTAAATTACTTTTTAAACAATGGGTAAATTTAAGCAATGTAAAAATGTTTTACAACAACCATGTTTCCACTTGATTATAAGGACAAAAATTTGCATGTACCCAAATTCCCTTTTAACAGTGTTGAAAAACTGTACAGCTATTAAAAACACATTAGACTCAGTGCACAAAAAACTATAGATAGAATTTAGTCACAAAACATATTGTATGATTCTATTTACATAAAATACCTAGAATAGCCAAATCTAAAGGCAAAAACATTAGTGGTTGCCCACTGCCAGATGGCAGAAAATTTGTTCCCTAGGGCGTGGCGGGGTAGTGAGGTCCTTCAGCCCAGCCTGTCCTACTGATGGCTTAGGCCCGCTCCCTATGGCCTCCCTCTGTGGGAGGCGACAGGGCTGATCAGGGGAAGGAAGGTGCCGCCCCCACCACTGCTGCTGCCACTGCTGGCCGTGGCAGCTGTGAAACCTGAACCCTGGGCCTCGCAGGCGCTGGGGCTCCTGGCTGCCTGAGCCCATGGCTGCATATTACCCTTTTATTCCTATAGATCTATGGTCGGCAAACTGTGGCTCTCGAGCCACATGCAGCTCTTTGGTCCCTTGAGTGTGGCTCTTCCACAAAATACCATAGCCTGGGCAAGTCTATTTTGAAGAAGTGGCGTTAGAAGTTTAAGTTTAAAAAATTTGGCCCTCAAAAGAAATTTCAATCGTTACACTGTTGATATTTGGCTCTGTGGACTAATGAGTTTGCCGACCACTGGTATAGATTATTAGTATAGATGATTTTAGTTAATAAATACTGTGTACTAAAAATGAACCACCAAATAATCCAAAATAAACCAATAAGCGATAAAGGACTGTGCTTCTAAGAAATCTGGATAAAACTAAGTTTAATGAGTAATGTACTACATACTTCAATATCAATATCTTTGAATGCTTTGGCACCCAGTTCTGTTTTCTTGATCTGTTCCAGCCGCTCTCGAACAGTTTTCTTTTTGATTTGTTCATGTTCTTGTAAGATACGTTCCTTCTCTCTCTCTTTTGCCTCCTGTCTTAGCCTCTCTTCTTCAGCCTTCCGTACTTTCTGGAGTTCAGCTTCCCTCTGCTCCAATTCTTCTTTCTCACGCTGAATATTCAGACTCTCAAGCCGCTCTTTCCTTTCCTCAATTGTCTGACGGCGAGCAAGGATACGCTGATGCTCTTTCCGTGAATTTTTAAGGTATGCAGTAACAGCCAACTGGTGTTGTTCTTCTTTCTCTTGCTTCAAAAACAAACGCATTTTAAAAATTAAGTGACATATCATGGTATTAGCCATCAAAAATTACTAAATAATCCTGAGGTATTACCCCTATGTGTTTGCATTTAATAACAGTAGATGAATTATTCGAACTACAAACTCTCAGTTCCAAATGCTATGTCACTACTCCCACAGCAATGATATAGCTGAAAAGCCTGTATTTGCTAGGTCAACTTTTCTCTGCACCAAATTTCCTTTGAAGTGTTCAAGCCAGGGAGGAATACTAACACACAAAGAAAAAATCGTAGGCATGAAGGCAAAGCCCAATCAATCACAGTACCCCCATTTGGGATCATCATTGTGTGGTCTGTTGTACGCCCATTTAATACTTGTATTATTTTACCCAATGGAAGGCATCTTAGTATTCTGTACATCTGATAGACATTTGCTAAAAATACCAAATACAACTGGATAATCTATATTAAATCCCTTCTTTCAGACACCATCTCAAACCTTTTTGTGAAAGACATAGCATAAGTCTTTCACAAAAAGGTAATTTCTATAGTCTATTTCATAATTTCTATAGTCTATTTCTCCCAAAGATGCATACCAATATATGAGCTGGTTTAATGACTTCAAGTGCTTTTGCGAGTACTGAGGACATGGCTGTCAGCTGGTTTCTTATCTGTTCCGAAGGCATACTTTGCAAATAAGGACCAAGTGGAGCATCTTCTCGAGTAGCATAATTCAAATCAGATCCAAAACTAAGGGTCCGAGAAGTGTGGTCAATACGAACCTTTGAAAAGTAAATATTATCATCAATAGTTAAGTATATATGTATATATGAAGTCCAACTTCTGATAAAAAATTTCAACTGAACTTGAGAAAAAATTAATGAAAGAATGTTGAATACAAAACCTACAAGATTAGCTCAGAAAAGCTTTAAATAGGTGCCAAGGTACCAAGAGCTAAGAAACAAAGGTTTTGTGTTTTTAGTCCTTAAAGCGCCTTGCCTTCCCCTCAGTGTCCCCTTACAGCACATACCTGCAGGTCGCAGTGCCTGGCTGCATCTACGATAGCACGTTCCAATTGGAAAGCATCAACAAAAGGAACCAGAGAAGTCAAACGAGAAAACTCAATGCTCTGATAAATTTGTGCCACCTGTATAAAAAACAACACAAGGTTACTAAGAATAGCTTATCATTTATTCAGCATTTTTTATATGCAGTCTTAAAAATCACTAAAGGTCCGGTGCAGTGGGGTCCCCCAGCCTGGCCTGAGACCTCTTGCAATCCAGGACCGCTTGGGGGATGTCGGAAAACCAGTTTTGGCCTAATCACCACAAGCTCGGCCAAAGGACCCTACCAGTGCACAATTGAGGCCAGGAAGGGACCGTGGGAGGGTACAGGGCATGTCCAGCCCTTCTCACCCAATCCCGATCAGCCAGACACCAACAGCAAACTAACCTATAGGTAGGTCACAGTGCCTGCCCCCTGATGGTCAGTGTGGATCATAGCAACTGGTTGAATGGTTGAACTAACAGCCAAGACACTTAGCATATTAGGCTTTTATTATATAAGATATTATATAGGATAGGATGGGAAGTAGAAATTATACCCATTTTTCAGAAAAAAGCTGAAGCTCAGAGTAGCTACATTAACAGTACATTGCTAGGGCTGGCATTCCAATAAAAGGCTCTCAAACCCAAGTCTCATGCTTTAAACCAGTGGTCACCAACCTTTCGGACCTCACGGACCACTAGTTGGCAACTGCTGCTTTAAACAGTCACCCCATACCATTTCTGAAAAACATCTATTCATAGTTTCATAAAACAAAACAAAAAAACCTAACTGGTCACAAATTCGCAGATAAAGACCAGCCACCTAATTCACCTGAATGCTTTTTGTAAAACTGGTTGTCTGAAGGAGACTGGCAGCATTACTACTTAGTTACACTGCTAATTAACCTTCAACTTTTTGTATAGCACATGAGAAATAACACTGCTCACATATACGAGAAAGCAGGTCAATGAAATGTGCGCAAATACTCAAGTGAACATATAAAAAAAAAAAGCCCCTCCCCCCAAATGAAACAAATGAAAGATAAAACAAACTTTTAAGCCGTATTATAAGCTACACTAGTTAAACTTGAGAAATCAGACTAAAATATGTTAAAAGACTGATACCTTGTGTAAACAGGATTAAAGGCTTTCTCATTTACAACTGGTTATGTCCCTTAATAGACCCTTTTCAGGAGCTACTAAAGCTTTAAACATGTAAAGTCTATGCCTAATTCTATGCTACAGAAAATCACAGAAGTATGCAAAGATAAGTGTAAAATGCTCACTGTAACATTTTTCTAATAGCAAAAAGCCGAGAAATACAAATTTATATCAATAGTCTGAATATTTAGTCATAGTACCCTTAGACAATGAAAAGCCTTGTAGGTATTAAACAAAATGAGAAACCTACATTACTAACAAGGGAAAATGTACAAAGATACTGTTTAAAAAAAAAAGTTATAAATTATGTAAAATTCTGTTTTCATATCAAATAGAAGATTAATTTTGGACAGAGAATAGAATTTGGGGAGACCTTCACTTCCTATGTCATTCCTAAATTTTTCAGTTTTGCAATCAAAACAACCAAGGAAGGAATCCCAGTTCTTACATAAAACATCCATTTTTCATGCGTACCTGCTGCAGAAGACGGAGGATGGTGTTGTTTTGCAGCTGTGGGACATACTGCTGCAGCTCTGGTTCCTTTTCAGGTTGGTCCTTAACCCAATTTAGAACCTATAAAAATCCATTAAATTAAAAAAAAGACTTCTACTTCCTATGTAACAGATACTAAAACATCTACAGAACTTTTTCAATTTCCTTAGACAAAAATATCAATACAACAAAAAATGCAGAATGTGTAATGAAGCTGTGAATACTTGTCTGAAGGTGACTGACAGCAATGGCTAAGCCAGGCCATGCTGCTAATTTACCTCCACAGGTTTGTTTAGCACATCAGAAATATCTTTTCTCCTGACATAAAGAAAAAAGACAATGAAATGTGCACTGACTTCAAACACAGGACAATACTTCTCTCTTAATAAATAGAAATATATCTGAAACTGCACTAGGACAAGCTATATGGTGATACAATCAAACATAAATGCAAAGGCTTACCTTTGTGACTCTCTCACAGAGTTTTAGGGGGTTAAATTCTACTTCCAACCAATTGTAAAGGTCTTTCACTTCCGAGACAACGTATTGTAGTACATTGAATCTGACCTACAGTAAATAAAACAAAGTTTAATTGCTTAAGAAAAATTGTGAACTGATTTTAAAAAAATACAGAATTAGAAATCTGGAAAATGATTAAGAAGTAAAACACCGTATTTAATCATGAATTATAAAACCTGAACATACAATTTTCTGTTCAAAGCATATATAATACTAGGAGCCCAGCACACGATTTGAAATCGCAGGACACTGCCCATCCTCGAGTCACTAGTCCAGCCCTGCCTTGTCCCCAAGCCCAGCAGTAGCCACAGCTCTGGAAGCAGCCACAGCTGATCAGGCCCTCCCCCAGTGCACGTGTGCAAAGGCCCCTTCTGCCCTGCCCCCGACATGGCGCAGGCAACCTCTTCCTGTCCCGTTGACCAGTTACTGGTCTTGGTTAATTAACATCTCTCTCTCTCTCTCTCTTTTTTTTTTTTTTTTTTTTTTTTTTGCGTGTGTGTATCTATAATAATAAAAGCATAACATGTTAATGAGACCAGAAGTCCTTCTGAACCACCTTCTGGACAAAGCCATGGCTGCCAGGGAAGCCAAGGAAGCCCAGGTCCCAGGTGCCAGAGGGAAGCCAGTGCTGGTAGCCAGGGTAAGGAAGGCCTACTTTTGCACAAATTTCGTACATCAGGCCTCTAGTGTATATATGCATGCTCAAATGTATACCAACCATATCGTTAATAAGACCAATTCGTGTTGGTGGGGCTTGAAGACCTAGCAGTGTTGCAAGGCGACGTTGTTTTTCAACTATGATACCATCCATATCCAGAAGTCGAGCAATATCAGTACGCTCAGGGGTGATAGGGATGGAAAGAGTAGCCAAAAGCACTCTAGTAGACATTCTGCAGAAGAAAATTACAAAATCTGTTAAATGTGTAAATGTTACTTGATAAGCAGAAAGACATTACTCTTTAACCATCTAGTACGATATGCCAGTGACAGACTATGTATATCACTATGTGAGTGTGAACTATATTCATAAATATTTGTTAAAGCATAAAATTATTTATAAATGGACCGTACTAAAATGAATACCTTAAGAATAAAAACTTCATCTACCCACTTACTCCTGTCAAATTTGTTCTAAGAATAGGTTTTAAATACTTATATATATGAATAGAAAGCTTATACCTTAACACTGTATTTTATATTCAATATTCCTAATATTCCATTTTTCTCAATTGCACCATTGGCAGAGTTGGACAAGATAGCTACTGAAGATCAAGAATACTACTCAAGCTCTAGCCAGTCTGGCTCAATGAATAGAGCATCAGCCTGTGGACCAAAAAGTCCCCAGGTTGATCCCGGTCAAGGGCACATACTTCAGTTGCAGGCTTCTTCCATGCCCAGGACCTGGTCAAAGCACATGCAGGAGACAACCAATCGATGTGTTTCTCAGACATCAATATTTTTCCCTCTCTTCTATTCCCTTTGAAAATCAATGAAAAAATATCCTCAGGTGAGGATTTTAAAAAATATTAAGGAAAGATAATTAAAAAAAAGAAAATACTGCCGAAACCGGTTTGGCTCAATGGATAGAGCGTCGGCTTGGAGACTGAAAGGTCCCGGGTTCGATTCCGGTCAGGGGCATGTATCCTGGTTGCGGGCATATCCCCAGTAGGGGGTGTGCAAGAGGCAGCTGATCGATGACTCTCTCTCATCGATGTTTCTAACTCTCTATCTCTCTCCCTTCCTCTCTGTACAAAATCAATAAAATATATTTTAAAAAAGAAAGAAAAAAGAAAATACTATCCAAGCAGAGTATCTGGAGACACTTTAGGTTATCACAAACTGGAAGGACTGCTACTAGAAGCCAGAGAATATAGACGAGGAATGATACTAACATCCTAAATGCATAGTCCCCCACCTCAAAGAATTATCCAAACACAAATATCAACAGTGCAGAGGTTGAGAAACCCTCATCCAGAACATACTATCATGTCATTCAGTAACAGATATTTGTTTCATAATGTCAGTTCTATCCAACAATAATATTCTTACCTTTGCATCTCTTCTTGGGTAAGATTCTTTCTCATTTCTCTAGATAGATGGTAAAGACGATGGAGCGTAGACGCATGAAAAAGAGCATTTCCAGATTTCCAAAAGACAGTTGAGACTTTGTTATAGTAATTTGCCATCAACTGAGGTTTAGGTGGTTTTTTAGATAAAGAGAATAGTCCATGAATGTCTTCAACAGCTTTGAATGCTTCCTAAAATTAGGAGAATAAATTAGTCATTACATTCTAACCAAAACAAAAATCTAATTCAAATCTCATTATGAAACCTAAAGCACAAAACACAATAAAAGTGGCAAATAAAATGCTTTCATGTGTGGTTCTTTTTATTCATCTGTAACCTAGTGTCGGATATATTTCTAAAAAATGCCATAACTACAAAAATACGAAATTCTTAAAACTCTTTAAAGTAGAAAGAGCAGACTTTAAAAAAAATCTAGAACACAAAACACAATAGAAGTTATTCTGAGTTATAAGATCATATATGAATATTGTCCTCTTTACATTATCCATGTTTTCTATAATGAACACATTTTCTTGTGTTCTATCGAATACATAACTTTTTTTTTTTTAAATAATTTATTTGTCCTTTCTACATAACTTTTTCCTCCTTAATTCATCAGGTAGTTATTTTAAGGATGTCCCTACAGAAAAAGAAAGTTATCATAAAAAAAATAGTGGAAAATCAAATCCCATTTTTCACCTGGCTAAAAAAAATTACTGATTTCTCTTCAATTTCAATTAGATTTTGGGTGATTAAATATATATATTAACGTTTCGACTTATGACTATAAAATCATGTGAAAACGTCTTTGTGGAATTCTTAGTGTGAAAAGGCCAAGTAGAGAATGATTCCCACCATGGCTGGGATTTCCAACATAGCATTGATTACCCATCATGTATGCTAAGTTGAAGCAATACCAAGAAATCTAGGAGAAAATCCAGTGCATCACTTCTTTTTTCACAGTAAAAGACAAGTTTTGTTTTTTAATTTCCAACCTGACACCACCAATTTTTTTTTTCAAAATACAGTAACATTCTCCTCTGGACTTATTTCATCATGCAGTAAAAAGTTCACACATTAGGTAGCACTGGGAAGAACTATTTTATATGGAAAGAAACTGGGTCCAAAAGAAATTACACGATTTGGCCCGACTTCATAGCTGGCACCTAGAACCAAAATATTCTAGTATTTCCTGTCCAGAACTCTCCCTACTGCATCAGACAAGCTTTAATTCCTCACTTATAAAAAACTAGCCAACAGCTGAAACCGGTTTGGTTCAGTGGAAGAGTCCCAGGTTCGATTCGTCAAGGGCATGTACCTTGGTTGCAGGCACATCCCCAGTGAGGGGTGTGTAGGAGGCAGCTGATCAATGTTTCTCTCATCAATGTTTCTAACTAACTCTGTCCCTCTCCCTTTTTTTCTGTAAAAAAAGAAAAAATCCATAAAAATAAAAAAATAAAAACTAGCCAACAGATATCAAGATAAAGATACTTAGGAAAAGGGAAAATATAGGCTGTTACCTGCCACAACTCCATGCTGATAGCACTGTCCAACTGAACAAGCCTGGTCTCCAAATGCATAGACTGGCTCTCTGGATTGTTAAGGTTGATTGCTGTACTTTGATTGTGGTGGCGTTGAATCTGAGACAAGTGCATTCTCAAATTGTCACACAGCTTACGGAATTCAGCCTTCCGGGTGTACTGGAGGCAGAATTTGAAAGCTATAAACATAAAAGTAAAATATATTAGGTACTTTCCACATCAACTTTAGGTATTGAATAAGTTTTATTTCATGTATTAAGATCAGCTATTTAAATAAGATTTACCAAACTAATCATGTCTTTAGAAGTGATTAGAGTAATAATTCACTTCATGTGCCCCAACCACCTTTTGGATATAGTCATTAGCATGTCTTAGGACTAAATTATGGTTCTGACTTTACCAATGGGAAATTATTCAAATTGGGGTCTAAGAAAGACTCACCTTTCAAACACTTATTTCAAATCCTAAAACAGCAAAAAAAAAATTCTAGCCTGAATACAGACGACCCTTGTACAATGCAGGTCTGAGCTGTGCAGGTTCACTTACACCCAGGTTTTTCTCAGTAAGTACTAAAAATTTATTTTTTTCTTCCTTACAATTTTCTGAATATTTTTCTCCATCTGGCTTACTTTAGTATAAGGATATAGTATGTGATACTAATATAAAACATGATCTAATTGGTTATGTTATTAAGACTTCTAATAGTGGACTATTACATTTTTAGTCAAAAGTTCTATGCAGATTTTCAACTGCATGGGGGGGGCCGACACCCCTAATCCCCATGCTGTTCAAAATGTACAGTGAACTTTATTACCTAACTTGCATAGACAGGTAGCTTTTGTACTAATGAAAACTGTACACATTGGGGTCTTGTAAGCTAATTTTAACTGTGTACATAGATGTGCATGTGAACTTCTTGCTGTCATTAAAGCATTAATATTCTGCCCAGCTGGGGTGGTTCAGTAGTAGCTGAGTGTTGTCCTATGAATCAGGAGGTCGCAGTTCCATTCCCAGTCAAGACACATGCCCGGGTTGCAGGCTCGATCCCCAGTCGGGGGTGTGCAGGAAGAAGCCAATCAATGATGTTTCTCTCATCCATGCTTCTATCTATCTCTCTCGTTTCCTCTCTCTAATAATAAAAATAAATAATATAAATAAAAAAGTTTATATTTTTCAATTACCTGGAAAACTCCAAAATGACTTTTAAAAGGTCTTTCATTCATCAATGAAATACATTTCATATAAAATTACTTCAAATAGTAAAACAAATTTCTTAAAAAGTCATTTACTATTCAAATTAATGCAAGTATTTCAATAGGGATAAAAACTATTTAAAATAAGTACTATGAAAAAGAAGTACTACGAAAAACATTAACAGTTAATCTGTTGCAAAATCTATTCATTAAGATTTTTTTAAATTATACTGATTTCTAGAGAGAGAGGGAGAAAGAGAAACACTGTTGTGAGAACAAAACATGAATTGGCTGCCTCCTATATGCCACCCATCAGGATTGAACTTAACAACCTGGGCATGTGTGTCCTGATCAGGAATCAAACCAGCAACCTTTCAATGCCCAGGACAAGGGCCTGAGCTGCAAATTATATTCGTAAGTCAACTTATCAAATCAGTTCTTGTTTTACCTTGTTGGGCAATATCATGGTAGAGACGCTCTACTCTAGAATTGTTTCGAAGAAGGTCCAAACACTGTCTGTATGATTCCCACAGGAATTTAACCCATGGAGTTAAAAGTAACCTGTCAGTACGATCCTGAGTGTCTTCGCCACTTACAGCACTTAGGAGAACACTACAAAAACATAAAATATATTGAAAACATTTTTAGACACGGTTTTCTACTTTGCCATGATGAAAACACCAAAACTGATAATCATTATAAAATAGTACATAATCTTCCTACAACTTTGGACAAACTATAAAGCTTAGTGTCCAAGTATTTGAATTCCCAATCCATAGTACAACCATTTATATTAATATATACCAATCTAAAGGTTGTACTTTTTCACTTTTATGAACTTTGATTAACACATGATTCTTTTGGTTACCATACATTTGAAATCTAAATATTAGCATTCTTTCTAATAAATACCTACTTCAAATCAGGATGGAGACACATGTATAGAAAAACACAGAGAAGTTTATTAGCAGTTTAACCCACATACCTCTCAGGAGTTTGAATATTATCCAGATCTTCTATGTCTAAGACCATCTGCTGGGATTCTTCTTTAGCTGCTTCAGTTTTTTCCTCTGCCAATTTCAAATATGCCCTCACGACATCCTCTAGAGATTTGATGTTCACCTAACAAAAACAAAAAATAAATAAAACTCTCCCCAACAAAACATATCTTGAAAGCAAATCTTATGGCATAGCATATATTTACTTTGAACGGTAAAGTCAAAATTACTAAATGCACTTATAAAAAAATATTAAACCCAGCTCTGTACATACCTGTTGACAAATGTTCTTATACTGGTATAATCCTTCTTTAGCCAAATGGCTTTTGCGAAGATCCACACAAAGTTCCAAGTATTTCAACATGATTGGTTCGTGTATTTTCTGCCATGTTCTATGTTTCTTGCTTTTCATAACATCATAAAGAACATCCAAAGCAGGTTGCTTTTTGCCAACCTCAAGAAATTCTGGAAAGGTAATTCAACAGAATTAAAATCAGTAATATATATTACACAAAAGTCTAAATCTTGCTTTTTAAATTGGCTGTTTTACTTTCTGAACTCATTACCATCTCTTTTTAGGTCACATTTATTTTTGACATCTAAAACTATGCCAAAATTATCTAAGACAAAACCATGAAAACCGCCATAACCGATTTGGCTCAATGGATAAAGCGTTTGGCCTGCGAACCGAAAGGTCCCAGGTTCGATTCTGGTCAAGGGCAGGTAGCTTGGTTGCGGGCACATCCCTAGTAGGAAGTGTGCAGGAGGCAGCTGATTGATGTTTCTCTCTCATCGATGTTTCTAACTCTCTCTCTCTCTGTAAAAAGTCAATAAAATATATTTTTTTTTTAAAAACAAAAAACATGAAAACCGGTTACTATCTCAAAATATGGTCTACAATTCCTCTGAACCAAACATATCTTTCTAAATGATTTTAAAGTTTCAGAAACTGAAGTCAATGAGGGAAAATAAGTCTCCCCAACAAATGGAGAAAAGTGTGATTTTAGTCACCAGTGCTCTGACTGATGTAATCTTTGCTAGTTCATGCTAAGAACTAAAGCAAGCCCTAGCCAGTTTGGTTCAGTGGACAGAGCATCGATCTGCGGACTGAAGGGTCCCAAGTTCAATTCCGGCCAAGGGCACATGCCCGAGTTGAGGGCTCAATCCCCAATAGGGGACATGCAAGAGGCAGCCACAAATGATTCTCTCTCATCATTGATGTTTCTATCTCTCTATCCCTCTTTCCTCTCTGAAATCAAAAAAGAAATATTTTTTTTAAAAGACAGTGTTTAAAAAAAAGACTTGAGGCAAAAAAAACATATTAAATTTATGTTCCTTTAAGATCAGTTGACTGTGTCAGTCTATTTCTGGGCTCTCTATTCTGAATATTCTCTATTGATCTATGTATCTAGTCATTTGCCAATACCTCACTGTCTTGATTCCTATAAAGGAAAGCATGGTCAAGTCTTAGACCGGATAGTGTGAGTGTCCTAATGCTTTTTTCAACATCGTGTTGGCTATACTAGGTCTTTTGCCTTTCATATAAACTTTAGAATTAGTTTGTAGATATCTACAAAATAACTCGCTGGGATTTTCAATTAGGATATTCTATACATCGAGTTTGGTAGAACTGACAATTTAAAATTTAGTCTGCCAAAACATGAGCAAAGAGTATGTCTCCACTTATCCCAGTCTAAACATGAGGAAATATTAAGACAGATTCCCAATTGAGGGACATTCTATAAAATACCAGACCATTACCCCTCAAAAATCATCAAGGTCATCAAAAAGTTAAGTCTAAGAAACTGTCACAACCAAGTAGCCCTAAGGAGACAGGACAACTAAATGTGATGCATCCTGAAACACAAGAAGAACATCAGGGAAAGCTGAGGAAATCTGAATGGTTAATAATAGTGCATCAGTATTTGTTCATTAGTTGTGACAAGTGACAAATGTACTAATATTATACTAATATATTATAAGATATTAATAGGGGAAACTGTGCCTGGTATATATGGGACCTCTGTACTACCTTTGCAGTTTTTCTGAAAATCTAAAACTTAAGTTCTCCAATTTTTATTTTTTAAAACTGGGAAGGGAGGGGGATGTTTTAGAATATAAAGCAAAGAAACACTCTTGAATTTACTGCCAATTAAAACTGAAGGCAAAAAAAAAAAAAAAAAAAAAAAAAGCCGGGACCGGTTTGGCTCAATGGATAGAGCGTCGGCTTGGGGACTGAAGGGTCCTGGGTTCGATTCCGGTCAAGGGCATGTACCTTGGTTGCGGGCATATCCCTAATAGGGGGTATGCAAGAGGCAGCTGATCGATGACTCTTTGTCATCGATGTTTCTAACTCTCTATCTCTCTCCCTTCCTCTCTGTATAAAATCAATAAAATATATTAAAAAAAAAAAAAAAAAAACTGAAGGCAATATTTGGCAATAGTTCAAAATCCAGTTCTAATCTCATGTTCTATGTATATTGTTCATTTTCAAATTCAGTCAAAAGCAAAGGTCCCTCTATCACATTATTTCTGACTAAAGTTGAAATTTATCTTATTTTTACTTATTTACCTTTTTTTGCTTTCTTTTACACAAACAATAAACTGGGGGAGGGAGTTAAGTCACCTGTTATGTTCAACATAAACTCAATATGTAATTGCCAAATTTCACAAACAGTACTTTTTCACTGAACATTTTAACAACTTGGGAGCACTAAAACACTAGTTTTACACTATACAAAATGTCTTAAAACACTACATCTTCATTTTTAAATCATTTAATTTCCTCCTTAAAAAAGAAATCTGGCCCTATTGGGTTTGGCTTAGTGGATAGAGCGTTGGCCTGCATACTGAAGGGTCCCGGGTTTGATTCTGGTCAAGGACACATGCCTGGGGTACAGGCTCGATCCCAGTAGGGGATGTGCACAATCATGGAGGTGCCAATCAATCATTCCCTCTCATCATTGATGTCTCTATCTCTCTCTCCCTCTTCCTTTCTCTCTGAAATTAATACAAAATATATATTTTTTTAAAAAAATTTTTAAATCTGCCCTGCCTGTGTGGCCTAGTGTTTGCATATTGGCCCATGAACCAAGAGGTCACTGGTTCAATTCCCAATCAGGGCACATGCCTGAGTTGTGGGCTTGATTCCCCAGTGGGGGTGCATGTAGGAGGCAGCGATCATTACCATTCCTCTCTCACTTCATGTCTGTCTATACATCTCTATCCTCTCCCTTCTTTTCACTCTAAACAATAAAAACGTATTTAAAAAAAATGCTTTGCCTTGGCCAGACAGCTCAGTTGGTTTAAGTGTCATCCCAATATGCAAAGGCTTTGGATTACATCCAGGTCAGGCAGCCAATGCATAAATAAGTGGAACAAATCGGTGTTTCTGTTATTCACCCCTTCCTTTCTCTCTAAAAATCAATGAATTTTTTAAAATATTTGACGAAGAATTAAGAATAATCTATCATGCAACTCTGTGCTAACCAAAGGATAGGCAAAAGAGCCCCTTATTTGGGGGTTTTACTAGAACTACAGGTTTAGTAATTCTCTAATATTTCTTCTTCCAATTATCACATCTTTCAGGAATGTTGACTGTGAACATTTTTTGCCCTGAGAAAGCTACAAACAACATTGTAACTCTCTAGTATAGAAAAAGCTTGCAATAGGACACTAGTAAATCACAACACAACATACTGAAATAAATACCTTTATATAATATCCTACTTCATCAATATTCCACATATGTAAATAAATGCAAATCCCTCTTTAATACTTCAAGTTAATAAACTGAATATTAACATTTCCGTTAAGAGAGAAAATCATTTTTCAGTTGTCAATTTTATTACACCCTTCCCCAAAATGCTACAAAATGAAACAAGACGTGTTATAACTAGGTACCTTGTTGGAATAATAAACCAGATACCTTGTTGGAATAATAAACCTTTTCTGTTTTAAGGGGTGGACCTACCGGATCTTATTCCTGGAGCATGCACATAAGGTTACTTTCTAAAATGCAACAGTAGAATTCAGGTCTTTTTCACAAATATTTAACAAAAATCGTATCTACCAGCCAAAATTTGGGGAGAAAATGTTTTTAAATGTATCCTTTACACTGAAAATATTGTTAACAGTAGCACTAAAATGACTTATTCTATACAATTCCCAATCTTATATTGAAAATTTAAACCTTACATTACTGTATTAAGTACTGTCAATATCTTGTTAACATAAAATAGGGACAAAGAGAGTTAAAGTTGAGAGCTGGCTCCAGTATGGTATGATGACAAAATACTAAACTGTCTAAAAATAGTTCACTTTCCCAATCTCTTGATTTTTAAATGAGTATGGTTTCTTTTCTTTTTTTTTTTTTTAATATATTTTAATGATTTTTACAGAGAGGAAGGGAGAGAGAGAGGGAGCTAGAAACGTCTATGAGAGAGAAACATCGACCATCTGCCTCCTGCACACCCCCCACCGGGGATGTGCTCCCAACCAACGCACATATCCCTGACCAGAATTGAACCTAGAACCTTTCAGTCCACAGACTGACGCTCTACCATTGAGCCAAACCGGTTTCGGCAAGAGTATGGTTTCTTAATGACATTCTAAAAATAAGTCTTATTTAGGAATAGAATTAAAAGTATTTTTCACTCCTAGATGGCTAATCACAATTTGCTTCCAAATCCCATACAATCTTTTCAAAGCCAAAGCAAATGCATTAAAAAAATAATTTTTATTGGACAAGCACTTCAACCATCAACAAACAAATAGCAACAACAAAAAAACATGGATACCAGGCAAGGATGTTTTTAAAAGAAAAAACTAGAATGGGTACAGATTTAATCCATGATGTCTTTACCCTAACATATACAAGGAGGATTTAGATGTAGTTTCTCTGAATTATCTGATTTGAGGTGAGGGGTTGTCTGGAAAGAACTGGCACACTAAAGGCTCTATTTTTATGTTTAAATAATTTTCCTTTCCAGATTGCTATTCCTGAAACAAAAATAAAATCTGGAATTATAAACTGTTAGTGCATCCTGGGTTTACCTTCCAGCCACAATGAGTGACACTGTGTGTCTATCTATAAAGAAAAAGTTTAGGTGAACCTCTCAATCTTATTAGTTTCTTCAGCAACCAACTAGATAAGCTATATTGTTACACATTTGTGGGTTTAATAACAACTATTTTTATATTCCCCATGAAGTTTAATTAAAAAGCTTTTACAGGGTCAGAAGCAGCTAATTTGGCACTACTAACAATATAATCTGGAAAAAGGGTTTTTCCCAAGTGATACCAGGTTATGAATTTTTTGCCTGAGCTGCTGGGCCAAGCTCTCATATTCCTGAATAATTACTGCAATTGTTTCCAAAAACATTGCTCTGATATACAGACTCAGAGTGACCTGAATTATTCTACTTAAATTTATTCACATTTTATTAATGGATTTGCTCTTAATGTGTTTGGGGTTACAAATGTTAGATAAAACATTTAGATAAAATGAGGTTATTCCCATTGAAAGGTGCTTTTTATCATCATCCTATTTAGTTTTTTAAGCAGTGCCATTCACCATCTACATTCTGCTCACCTTGACACTGAAGAGATCTCTTACAAGATCAAAGGTACAAAAATTAATACATGAATGGCAAAGCCTTTCATCTCTACCACAGAAACACCCACCTTACAGCTTAAAAGGGCCAAAGAAAGGAGCCTACAGTCTTTTTTGCAAAACTACAGAAACAAAATTCACTCCCGGCCAGCAGTATCTTTCTCATCTTGCCTACTTTAATTTTAGATGCTTTGCCCAACTTCCCCTTCATGAATCAAATCAATTTCAACTTAGAAAATGTGAAAAAAAGTTTTTAAGATTTGTTGCACATTTGTATCCTTACTAAGTTTAAAAAGTTTCTGAAATATTAAGTTCATAGGAAGGTTCAGAAGGGAGGAGTGATGAAGGAAATAAAGCCTGAACACAGCAAATGAGTAACTTTCAGGCCACGGAGATTATAGTGCTTCAGCCTGTCAGAAAGGGGGAAGGAAGCTGTAGGTAAAAGCATTCAAATGACTGTGAAACAGACCTACAATGGCAAACCCAGTAGAGGTTTACCCAGGTCACTTAGCATCATGGTAAATTTTGAAACTTTAAAAAAATGTCCTAACTTTGCTGCAGCTTATCTTTATTTTGTAATAAATTTCTATTTTCTTTTCTATAAACTTAAAACAGCTCCCCTGTTCTAACCACGAGATAGCTGGTTAGAATGGGCAGTGGATCAGATCTTTAGATGTAGCTTTAAAAAAAAAAAAAAAAAAAAAAACAATCACTCTGCCCACAGAATGTAGAATTAACCTATTTCCAGACTGTCAACTCTCTCGAAATGGTTACTTTTAGTTAAAACGATAAGCATGTGACAAAAACACAGCTCTAGCCCTGCCGGATCAATTTCATGCAATGACTGACCTGACCTTTCCCAAAAAGAGCAATTTTCAAACCAGCTCACAACGTAAGCCCCACAGACCTAACACGGTAACACGCAGGGTATCCCCATCAGCCACAGGGATGAGACCCAAAACTGGTGTGGGAGGAGCAAGGGTGCAGACAGGGGCTTTCATGAAACCCTAAAAAAGTTTTTTTTTTTTTTTAAACTTAATTCAAGATCCGAGACAGGCATCATACATGTGTAACCCCCCATAACGCCAACGGTGATGAGTGCCCGCTGAATACATGGGGACACGCACAGGTTTGCCCCCCGAAAAGGCCGCGGGCTCCAGCACCCACACAGGGAGACAGAAGTCGCCGCGGCTCCGCGGGGCGCCCGGGGCCCTCCGCCTCGGCCCCTGGCTCAGCCTCCCGCCGCGGAGTGACCTTGGGCAGCCCATTCCCTCCCTCTAGGCCTCAGTTTCGTTATCTTGGGAGAGAACGTGCAGTCGCTCGGTGACTACGAACAACTCCGGCCCAACTTCCTGTGATTCCGAACAGGCTTTGGGGCCGCCAATGATCAATGCCAGAAAAAAGGAAAAAAAAAATGAAAACCGGTTCTGTGGGTCGGAGCGCCCGAAGCAAAGGCCCGGTGGCCGGAGGAGAGCTGGGTGGACCCTGACCCGGCAGGGCCCCGCGCGGGGCCCGGGGGGGCGGAGGGGCCCGGGGGCAGGGCCGGGGGTGGGACGGCCCGGCCCGCGGCCCCGGCGGGAGGTGGAGTCGAGGTTCTCGCGTGCATTGTCCCCGGGAGGGAGCCATGTTTCCTCCTCCCCGGCACTCCCAGATGGCGGCCCGGGGCGCCGGGGGCCTAAGCAGGCGAGAAGACCCGGGGCCTGGGGAGCGGAGGGGGAGGAAGACGGGGTGGGGGAGCCAGCTCCAGCCCGAGGGGCTCAGTCTCCGGGGCGGCGGCCCCCCGAGACTCACCGGAGGGCGACGAGGGGGGGGGGGGGACGGAAGGGCCCCAGGGCGACGGTTCCCGGCTCCGCGCCTCCCACTCCCGGGTCAGTTGGGACGAGAAGGGAAACCATGCCGCCAACTACGGTCTGGGACGGCGGCGGGCAGGCCGCCATCGACCCCCCGTCTCCGGCCGCCGTCAGGCAGCGGAACAGGGAGAAGCCCGGCGCGGGCCCCTCGACCTCTGAGGCCTCGGCCGCCCCAGCCCGGAGCGCCCCGACCCCCTTACTCACCGTTGGCGCGTTTGAGGGCATTTTCCGGCCTCTGGAAGTAGGCCGGCATCTTGGCGGCAGGCTCAGCTCACCCAGCGTCAGGGAAGTCCTCAGTGGCCCGGGCCGAAGGGGAACCAGCGCGAGGTCCCACGCGCCTCACCAGCAGTCGCCCGCGCCCAGACAGCCAGCCAGCGATGGAAAGGAGGGGCCCACGTGACCTCCGCGCGGCGGCGGCGCCGCGGCCCAGGCCCCGGATGTAAGGGGGCGGGCCTCCGCGTGCGCACCACCCGTCTCCCGCGCGCAGGCGCGCTGGCCTTACGCACGTCGGCTGACGTGGCGGCGCCGGGCGCCGTCCGCGCTCTCAGATGCCCCCGCGGAACGCGGAGGTTTCACGCGAGGGGAGCGCGTCTCGGGCCCCTCGCCGCTCAGGCGACAGTCGGGCAGGGAGCGGTGAGGTTTGGGTCAGAGTATCCGCCTCGCTAGAAGGCTGGCGTCCGCACAGATCTATTTTTACGGTGATTTGTGCGGAGCCGTGCAGAGTTAGAATCAGTCGGGTCCATCGCCCAGGAAAGGCCCGCCTTGGCTGAGGGAAAAGGCGGAATGAATGGATCCGTATAACGGAAATGCCCCGAGCAGGTATCTTCAGGTCGGCGCTGCTCACCCCGGAAAAAAGTGGGGGCCAGTCCCATCCCGGACTAGCATGGGGAGGAGCGATGCAGCAGATAACTACAGAAGCAGGCTCATCGCATATGGAGGTGAAATAGAAATGATAGTGAGTCCCAGCCGGTTTGGCTCAGTGGATAGGGCGTCGGCCTGCGGACTTGAAGGGTCCCGGGTTCGATTCCAGTCAAGGGCACATGCCGGGTTGCAGGCTGGATCCCCAGTATGGGGCCTCCAATCAATGATTCTCGTTGTGGATGTTTCTCTTCCTCTCGAAAAGGTGTTTTTTTAAAAATAAAAACGTTGGTGACAAGAGATTGCCTGAGTGAGGGGGGCGCTCCCAGACAAGGCTAGTGGGGAGCTGAGACCTTAAAGATGGGACAGACCAGGGACAGCAACCCGGCAAAGGGCAAAAGCGCTGCCGCAGAACAGACCTGCGTGTTCGCAAACACGTGGAGTGTTGTCGCCTTTACATACAGCACATATGGCAAACGTAAGACAAATAAGCGTTAGTGACCAGACGATCAATGTATAACAGGTCTTTTGCTGCAGTCTTTATTGTTAATAAATAACCTTAATGTGCAAACATTATTTACACCTAGAGTTTGAAAGCCACTGAAACAGAATGTAATTGCTCAAGCCCTTGGTCTGAAATTAAGATGACTTAAGAAGAAAAGTTCAGAAAGCAGCAGTGGAATAAATTATTGCAATTTGTTTTGCACGTTTTGTAATAATGGAGGGTATGTGTGAATTAATGAATACATTAATGAACGAGAAAACCACAGTATGTACACCCAAAAAGAATTTCCCCTCATTTTTCCTGCCTCAGCAAAGGTGTGTGTGTGTTGGGGGGGGGGGGGGGGGGGGAGGTCTATTTAACTGTAAACTTATCACTGAAAAAAATTTTGGGAAATGCATAGCCAAAAGAATAAATCACAAATTCTAAAAAAGATTATTTTTAAATTAAGTTTCAGAGAGGTCTTCCTCCAAAATGTTTAAACCACTCCAAATGTCTGAGCTTACTCCCAAAAATGTAAGGGCCAGACAGCGTTGAGTAACAAGTACTAAGAAGCTGTAGGAACTGTTTTATGGGGCAGGATCAAGAGACTCGTGTATGTATATAATAATTAAGGCAAAATTAAAGAGCTACACATAAGAGCAAATACAGCTCTTAAATACTGTAAATAAAAAACTAGTAGGCCACAGAGAGACGTAACAGAATAAAATGGAAAGAAACCTGGCCTAAGTAGCAGAAAAAGCTTTCTAACATTCTTATCTTTCCATTATCATATCTGAATGAAAACGGTAATAAAATTACCTCATTAATTAATACTCATTATTTGGCAGACCTAAAACAAGGAAAACACTAGAAAATTGGGAAGTAAATGAAATCCAGCCAAAGCTGGTTTGGCTCAGTGGTAGAGCGTCGGTCTGTCGACTGAAAGGTCCCGGGTTCGATTCCGATCAAGGGCATGTACATTGGTTGCGGGCACGTCCCCAGCGGGGGGTGTGCAGGAGGCAGCTGGTCGATGATTCTCTCTCATCGATGTTTCTAATTCTCTACCCCTCTCTCTTCCTCTCTGTAAAAACTCAATAAAATATATTTAAAAAAAAAAAAAAAGAAATCCAATATCTCTGATTCTTTACCTTTTCTCTTTCAAGTTAAAGCATGTGAAGCATTTGGTGATAACCAATGATCCTTTAAGTGTACTAAGTAAAGTTATTTAGAGTCTAGTACTGTATTTGTGAATAAGTAAAGGGATAATGTCAATTTCCAGGATAAATTTACCTATTAAATTCAACCAGCAGGTATTCAGTACCAACTAACATAATATTAGATGCTGGGAATAAAAAGATACAAGATGCCTACTTTCAAGGACTTGATTCAATGGTGAAGATCATACAAGATAGGATCTATTCTGGGCCAGGAGAAAAGCAACTTGCTGTTGATTAATGCTCACTTATCCTATGTAATAAAAGGCTAATACGCAAATCAACCAAATGGCAGAATGGCCGGTTGCTATGATGTGCACTGACCACCAGGGGAAGATGCTAATGCAGGAGATGCCCCATGGTGTTCAGTGTACTCCCACCGGGTAGGGGTGGAGGGCACCACTCAGCCAGAAGCTGGCCTCGTGGCTGGCGAGCATAGTGGCAGTGGCAGGAACCTCTCCCTCTGCAGCAGTGTTAAGAATGGCCTGCTCCCAGTGGGGAGCGAGCCTAAGTTGGCATTCAGACATCCCCCAAGGGCTCCCAGACTGAGAGAGGGTGCAGGCCAAGATGAGGGACACCCCCACCCACAAGTGCACAATTTTTGTGCACCGGGCCTCTAGCGAGAAAATAAGCAACCTGAATATGTTAGAAACCACTTTAGGAAATGGTAAGAGGAAGGGATCAGATTGGTGAAGGATTTTTTTTTCTTAATGAGGCTACTTTTATACTACATATGACTGGATAATTGCTCTTAATACGATATTTTGGGGAGTTTCTGACTTGAGGAGAGAAAATAAGATTCTCAAAAAAAACAAACAGTTGTTAAGGTGAAACAGAAGTACAACCTTAAACATATTTGCAACATAATATCTTACAGCTTTAAAACAAGCATTATATTTTAGAGTTTACAGAATGCTTTTACATTTATCGTTTTGTTTATAAGAATGCTGTAATGATGATATTTATACTGATGAACATAAATTTCAGAGAGGTAAACTAAGATTCACAGTTATACATTCATTCAACCTTTATCAAGTGCGTACCATGTACCACACACAGGAAGTAAGCACCTGTAGTTACACAGCAGTGAACAGGGCAGATGTGATTCCCGCCTCCTTAGAATTTGCTTTCTAGAGAGAGAAAGACCCGAAGCCCTTGCCAGAAGCTTTATGAATGGAGACACTCCGCTCTAAGCCCCCATTGTCTCTCCAGGCCCATGTCTCACCACGCCCAAAGTCTGTCAGTGCCTTAGCTCTCTCTCCCGCCTCTAATGGGAGGCATGCCCACTTGAAACATTCTTCACCACCATCCAGTTATTGCTCTGATGACAGCCACCTATTTATACTTCCTCCAGGATTCTTCCCTGGCCCCCAGTTAGTTTAGATGCCAAGGCAATGAGCACTAACAACATCCTGCCTGCACTGATCACACTTCAGAATAATTTCTTGCAGATTAGAGAGGGGAAGGACCATCTTTGTGTTGTTCACCATTGTGTCTCTAATGCCTCGCAGAGAATCAGGCAGACAGGATGCTCTGAAAAAATGCTAGCGAGCCCGGCTGGCGTGGCTCAGTGGTTGAGCATTGAACCTGTGAACAAGGAGGTCACAGTTTGATTCCCTGTCAGGGCGCATGCCTGGGTTGAGGGCTCAATCCCCAGTAGGGGGTGTGTAGGAGGCAGCCAATCAATGATTCTCTCTCATCATTGATGTTTCTTTTTCTTACTCTCCCTTCCTCTCTGAAGTCAATAAAAATGTATTTTAAAAATAAATAAATAAAATGAATCCAGCTCCTATGTACTAATACATTGGGTTCCATCTCTGCTCACACACAGGGTTCATCATGCCATCCTTCCTGAGACACGTTCTTCACTTGTCACGCTTTCCTGATTTTCTTCCTGCCTCTCTGAATACCCAGTCTCCTTTGCTGATGTCTCCTCACCACTCTGACCTCTAAGGTTGGAAAGTCCCAGGGCCAAGCCCCTGGACCTCTTCCGTCTAACTACATCCGGCTCTTGTTTCTAGCTCATGGCTTTAGACATCACCTCTATGTTTATAAGTTACAAAATTGCATTACCAGCGCTTGGCTTCTCTCCTGAAAGCCAGTCAGTCTCACACCCAGATGCCTATTTGACACATCCATTAAATATTTGGCATATAGCATAACCCAACCTGCCCCAAACCAGACTCCTGGTGTCTTCTGCCATGAGCGAGCTGCTCCTGTCATTTTTCTCATAAAAAGGATGGCAGCCTTGTTCTTACGCTTGCTCAAGCCACAAATGTTGGAGACATCCTTGACTACTTTTTCTGTCACATCCCCACACCCAAGCAATCCTTCAATAAATCTCATATCTACCTCCACAGCGTATATAGGACCTGCTAACTTGTCTTCCTGTTTCCCCTCCCTTCCTTCTCTTTCCTCTCCACACAGCAAGCAGGGGATTCTTTCAGAACAAAAGTGAGATGATCCTGTCAGTCCCCCCATCAAGACCCTCTGTGGTTCCCAGCTCAAGCAATGATAGCCAAAGTCCTTTAATGACCTGCAGGGCCCTATCCAACTCCTCCCCTTCCCCTGGTCCCTCCCATCCCACACCAGTGTCACCTTCCCTCAACTATTGATTTCAGAGAGGAAAAGAGAGGGAGAGAGAGATAGAAACATCGATGATGAGAGAATCCTTGACCAGCTGCCTCTTGTACACCC